AGCGGTGTTTCGTCCCGCGACTACAGCGTCTCACGGTCAGCCGGACGCAGCATCTAAAGCCCTTGCACTCTTACTATCCTCGATTAACGTTTGGATGCGTGTCTCTAGTTTAAGTTAAAGTTTGCGACACACACTCTCGTATGAAACACGCACACCTCTGTCTGACACAGTCACATGATTATCAACTATCAGGACTCTGGGATAGCCAATGATTGCTGGAGACGTATTGCTCATTACACTCACTGTATCACATCAGACATGAGTTGCGTTTCGCTGATAACTTGTGCTTCTGCTTCAGTCTGTATAACACCTGAGCTTCATCATCTGAGGAAACCACATATCCAACATGTGTGACACGCCACAGACTTTCAGATGAGCGCCAAAGTGTTCGGCCACCGCTCACTCAGTCACTGACACACACACACACACACTGCCCTGCACACACTCTAGATGAGGGTTTCTATAATCACAGGGCTCGACCAAGGTCAGCCGATCCAATTTTCTCTCTTGCCCTCAACAAACAACATACTGACAAGCATCTGATGGAGAGTTACGGGGCTATAAAGGCCTAATTGCACTGAATTTACACAAGAGTGTTTGTAAAGCTCAGTGATTTCTCCACAGGGATTCCTGGCAGTAAATCTCCTGCAGACACTCGTGTGACGGGGAAATCTCCCCGGTTATAACCTAACGACTCTGAAATGCATCGACCGCTAATTGGAATATAAAGCGCAGCTCAGTTTTACTGCGTTGAGGCGATAAATATATTTGAATGAAGCCGAGAGAAAGAGCCGTCCGCTCAGGCTCAGGAAGTGCTCGTCGAAACTCTCGAAACTACAGTTCACGGTTAGTTTTACAGTGATTGAAGCCCGTATAGTGCAGGCATCCTCATCAGTGTTTATTTTCAGGTGAGCTGCAAACAGATTTTATGTCATTCTTTTACAACAGACTTTTCTATTTATTGGTTTCTGTCTTCTGCAGTGTTAGTGTGTTTGTTCTCTCGACTCTCTGGGTCTCTCACACACTCACCGTTTCATTCACAGCTTTTACAGCCATGAAGAGTCCCTCAGTAATAAATAAGAACAGCTTTGATATTTGATCTATGAGAACATGCTAATAACACTTTAAAATATGTAATGATCTATATATATATATCATTAAAATATCTTGCTTTACTGTCAAATGTTAACAAGCGTTTAAGGCACTGAAGTAAACAGTAAAGAAACACACAAAGAGATTTCATTCATTCGAGATTCAAAATGTCACACACAATTATGTTTAAAGCAAGATGACAGAACCAGGATTACTATGGTGAATATGGTAGATCCTCAAATCATCTTTTTACAGAAAAAAAGGGTTATCTTTTTTGGATGGTCCACTTCAGACATTCTCAATAACTTTTCTTACTAACTTTTTACTAACTGCAACTACATTTCAACTGTCTCATTAGAGTGTTATGTTCCTCCTCGAGCCGTGAGTGTGTTCATCGGGCTAACACTGAAACGAGTCGACCTGATCAACCCGGTCTCACCCCAAGACGTCATATAACTGACGTTTTGGGACGTCTTTTGACCATACGTCAATATTCGCCTTTTTAGGGCCCCCTTAAACGTCGGTAGATGAGGTTATGGGATCCTAACTCTACCCCAGACCTAAACCTAACCCGTCACCTAACTGACGTTAAAGGTAAAGCGTCAGTTGTATGACGGCCCGGGATCGCCATCTACCGACGTTTAAGGGGGCCCTAAAAAGGCTGATATTGACGTATGGTCAAAATACGTCCCAAAACGTCAGTTATATGACTTTTTGGGATGAGACTGTGTTAACCTGATCCTGAGCTCCACAGCGGCCCGAACCCGGTTCCTCCTCGAGCCGTGAGTGTGTTCATCAGGCTAACACTGAAACGAGTCGGCCTGATCCTGAGCTCCACAGCGGCCCGAACGTGGCAAGCTGGCGCTCAGGCCTCGCTAGTGGGCTTTAAATGCCGCCGCATTACTCGGGCTCACACAATGGCCGGCATGCTGGGGTTTGGTCACGGCTCCTCTATAACTGTTATTAGGCCCCCGAACTTTCAGGGGCGAACGACCACTAAAGCAGGAGTCGGTCTTGAGTTGAACAAGGTTTGGGGTCAGAGGTCACGGGCCGGAGCGGAAACGGGACACAGAGACGAACAATGCAGACCTGCAGACACAGACAGGGATGAGCGGAGAACAGATGGTGGAGGGAGAGCAGAAGAAGGAGCCTGACTGAAATTACAGTGACACAGACACTCATTAAATATAAATCAGAAACTTTGTTTAGGAAAATGAGAGGTGTGGATCATGAAACATTTGCACTTTCACCTTAACAAGAGCTGATGAAGATTTATAAGAATAACACATATGAAAAACTGAAGGAAGGTGTTTCTTCCGCTTTTATTATCGATTTATTAAGTTAAAGACGGGCTCAGTTCAGCTCGAAACTAAATTCGCGACATTTTATTTTTTAATTATTAAATTCAGCTTTTTGATGCTCTTTTGAAACCCATATTTTAGATTCTTTGCCGGTGACTCGAAAGTTTTAAATCTGAAAGACATCGCTGTTTTGTACGTAACATTTTTGAGTAGCCTATTTCTCTAAAAAAAAAACGGTAGCAAACGTGACATGACATAGTAGAGAGAGAGAGAGAGAGAGAGAGAGAGAGAGAGAGAGAGAGAGAGAGAGTGAGTGAGTGAGTAAGTGTGTGTGTGTGTGTGTGTGTGTGTGTGTGTGTGTGTGTGTGTGTGTGTGTGTGTGTGTGTGTGTGTGTGTGTGTGTGTGTGTGTGTGTGTGTGTGTGTGTGTTTTCACCCGGCAGCGCAGTGTGTCTCTCCGTCATATGAGGCAAAGGCTGTACACTCTTTTCACTTTATTCTCTGTACTTTATTTATTTTTTTCTTGTATTTCGATATTTTTTAATATGTTTGTATATGTTTATTGCTTTGGCAATATTGTGTTATATTGTGGAGAGTCATTCCGAGCTTCGTGGGTTTTAATACACACATGCCTGTACACGAAAAAGGGGGAAATGAATTATTGTTTAAAAACGAGATGCAGTTTAGGCTTCACATGTGATGGGAGCAGTGCACATCAGCTATTATATATATCACATCGGCATCCATTCTTCTTTGATTATCGATATTTCCAGCGTTATCGTGTTTATCGAGGTATTTAGAAACTTTCTCGCAGTAAACCATAAACCGACCTTTCTAACATTTCAAGTTAACTTTAAAGTATAATTGCAGAGTTTCGCAGCAAATCTGTCCAACATAAACGATGTTAATATTCCATCCCTGTCAAATATTTAATTACACATAGGCTACCCTAAGTGTGCCATGATGAACCGGCTGCTAACATGTGACGGGTTTGGTCACAGTGAAATGCTGAACTCTCTCAAAATCAAATCGTACACTAATGTTTCATAATGCGCATGAACAACACTCTTCGGGGAAATATACTTTTCTTTTCTTGGTTTCATCATTTCATATATTTATTTACTGGATTAAAGAACAACTTTTGCGCGTTTTATGCGCCATTAATTTAGTATCCGATATTGCGGATGATGAGAGCGCAGATAAAATCTGTTAATCCCCGATAACCTCTCCTTCACCTCGCTCCTCTTCCTCCGCTTCTGCCCTCTCCTCGGGCGCTCCAGCTGCTCCACTCTTCTACGCTGAAGAAAGGAATGCTCTGCTTCCATTTACTCTGTGGTTCTCTTTACTCTGTATTTATCTGAAAACACGCGCACTTTGTTCCGCACTCGCTGTATTTACACGACACAGCGGAGAAGGCATGAATACGAATGAAAGAAATGAAAGAGCCTTCAGAGGAACAGCAAGATAACGATATGGAGTGATTTTGACCTGTCTTTTTTCTTTTCAAGCCTGTAATGTGGTTTAATTATTCTCTTACTGAGGCCACAGACGTGTCATCTCGTGAGTCTAACAGAAGCACAAAGCTTTATATTAACACTCATCCTCTTTTAGTTTCTCGTTCATTAATGTGTGTGTGTAACTGCGCTAATAAAGACTCTCTCTCTGTCCTGACACGCGCCATATGGCAAAGGCCAAACCACGGGTGCCATAAAGGAGTAATTCGGCTTGTTGTGTTTGTTTTAAAGTTGTGAGAACAACAGAGAGTGTGTGAAGATGCTCGGGGATCCTGTGACCCCGCTGAGAGTTGGTCTAGAAGCTCCTAAACAGCGCAATAAAAGCCGTTTCATGCCGGACATTTAAAGCTATAAGGACTTTCCACTGCAGAGCCATAATCATCCGCCTATTATTGGCCTACTATTATTAGTATTGTTATTAATGAAAGGCATTTATTAAATTCAGTCATTAATACAAATAATAATAGTAATAAATGAATGTATAAAACCACCCAATCATTGTTATTTTTTATTAATAATAATTATGATGAAATATAGCCTATTGATAAAAATCATTCAATAATTATACTACATTGATTGATAAAACCATCTAGTCATTGTTTTATTATTAATAATAATAATTATAATGAAATGCATTGATAAAATTCAATCATTAAAAAATACTAGCAATAATACCCAGTCATTATTGTAATTATTATTATTTGTCGGCAAACCATTGTAAAGTGCTGGTATCCGTCAAGTGAGGGATCAGGTATTTGTCATGTTATATATGATATCACAGCAGATTACAGCAAATCAAGAGTCCAACTGTGTGTGAAGGAGGAGCGCATCTAATCACTGAGGGTGAATGAAAACAAGCCCGATCCTTCACTAATATTTCCGTAAACGTTGACGTATCGCTCGCTGTTTTGTTGTGTTCTGGAAGCGCTCGAACCCCCGGAATCACCCATGCGCATAGGTCGGTCTGGACACGTCATCCGACGGACACGCCCCCAAATAACGCGCCGTCCAATGGCGAAGCTCGTCCTGTGCGCGTGAGAGTCTCCGCGATAAAGCCTCCGCGGGCCCGTCAGACACACACACTACTGGAGGAACTCTGATCACACACACACAAACACGAACACACACACACACACACAGTACTGGAGGAACTCTGATCACACACACACTCAATATGTGCCATTATAACTGACACTGTGGCGCTGGATAAAAGCCGTCGGATATTCCCAAGCGTTTCTTCTTCAGAAGGTAAAACATGCATTATTATATATTTATGTTTGCGCATTGATGTGATGTGGATTTAATGGGGTAAACTTATTGATACCTGCAGATTCTTCAGTCAATAACTTCTGAGAAATAATCCTCATAATCTACAACAGGCCTATAACGCGCTATAACGCAGCAAATCTCTGTCAAACACGAGGAGCTTGACGATAAAAACTCTCGAATACAGTGCTTAATATGAAGATGAGAGTGTTATGCAAATAGCCATTAATAAATATTCAATAATAATATAACAATAGCCGTAACTGTCAGGTTCACCATAAAATGTCCTTTTGCAGGGAATAAAACTGTCCACGCAGGGGTATTTGCACGCCAGACCTCATATGGACTAAAACACAGAAACACGTGGACAAAAAACCTGGACATCAAGAGACCGAGACTTCTCTGAGAAATGTCCATCACTACTGGGCGAGGTAAAATAATAAACTCGTTATTCTGAAATATATATTCCGGCATCATATGACATGTCTAAAAATGAAGAACAAGTGCCGCAATCGGGACATTTATTCAGGCAGTATTTCACAATAATGTTCATCAGTGTACAAGTTCAAGACCCCGTTCCGCGAAAATTAACCTTCCTTCTTATAAGGTTTATTTATTTTACCAATAGTTTCTGTTCATTTACAATCAAATCTTAAAACAATATAGAACTTCTAAATGTCCATAAATTGACAGTAGTGGTTTGGCATTTTATTATATGTGTCAAGAAGAACTAATATAGGCTACTACGAACTCATAAATACCGCTGATAACAAATAACCAAATAAGATATAACTCCCAATAACACAAATCCTTCAGTTCGTGAATGTAATTGATCTGAATTTGATATGTTTATGAATGCCTCGTTAATCTTTGGATTAGATTGCAGAATAATCGGAGAGATTCGGACAGAAACTCTTTATTCGCACAGATAGGCCTATTATTGACTTTCGTTTAGACGGTTAGTGTGTTAAACAGTCCTGAATAAACGAGCATGATCATCATATAACACTCGGACTTCTGTCGATATTTCAGTAATAGACATGTAAACACTGCTGGGATATTGATTTATTTCCTCGAATCTCGGACTGTGTTTTTGCGCGATGGAGAAACACACAGTTTGTGTGTTAAACTGCTTCCCCGCTTTTCTCTCTTTACATGAAAATGAATTTATCAGTGTCGCTATAATATTACTTTTTAACGGGTTGCTTTTACGCTCTATAATATGTTTCAAATTACTTTTTACAAAAACACATATAGACTAATACTTTTTTTGTAGAAGGTTTTCCTAAAATTTCTCTCTTATTTTCTCATGATCAGTTTCTCCTTTCGTTTTCATATATCAAAAGTAATGTACAACTTAAATGATTCTAATCGAAATACGATTATTATTGTCTAAATTCGTTGAAATTTTGTCCCGGGAATTTTCTTGCGTACTGAAATAAATCATTAATGTTATGCAATTGAGGGTTCATAATGTCATATCAAAACAGAGTATCTAAAGTCTGCACCAAAACAAGAAAAATCGCTTTAAACAAATTACTGTAAAATTAAACAAAACAAAATTTCAACAACAATTTCGTGCGCGATGCGCTAGTTTTTAGAAATCCAGGCTATGATCCAGAAAGCCTCGTTAAAATCTACTTTAATACATTAATTTATAAAAATGCCATAACCCTAAACTATTAAAATCAATGATATAAACCAAACCAGTCTTTAAGCCTTTGCTTGGTGTGTGTGTGTGTGCGTGCGTGCGTGCGTGCGTGTGTGTGTGTGAGTAACTGTGTGTGTGTGTGTGTGTGTGTGTGTGTGTGTGTGTGAGTAACAGTGTGTGTGTGTGTGTGTGTGTGTGTGTGTGTGTGTGTGTGTGTGTGTGTGTGTGTTCTCCTGGGCTTTCTCTGCTTTAATATCCTGTGGCTCGCTGACTCTGGGCGAGGAGAGTTTGACACACTCCGCTAACACCGTTAATAGCGCCGTTTGATGTGGAAATGAAGCTGCAAAAGAGCAAAAGGGGAAGAAGAGTCTGAACGGGTTAAATTAAAGAGAGAGAAAGAAGAGAATGAACGGGTTAAATTAAAGAGAGTCACTGAAGCGCGAGCGTTTCCTCACAAAAGGGCGCATGACAAAAACACGATAAACGAACATTAAAATCTGCTGTTTTTAATTAAATCAATTTTCCATGCACTAAAACCAACAACAAAGATAATAGTAATAATAATATACTTATGACTTACCAATAGTTTTATTATGAATATTTTATATTTATTATTAAAATATGTTTACAAGTGCACATTCGTTTATTTTTATTTATTTTATTTATTTTTATTTTTTACTACACGTACAACCCAGTGCAATGAATTTCATTCAAAAAATATTCTGTCCCTCTGCTCTGAGAAACATTTGAATGTTTTATAGTTTTTACTGCCTTACTGTAGGTTATTTTACACAAACACATTCATGGCTGAAATATTTTATAGCAGTTATTAGTTCATATATTATAATGAGCTCTTGAATCTGAACAGAGTTGGAGTTATTAAAGCTGAACATTCTTCATCAGACAGATTGTGCTGCTGTATGTCATCATGTAAACAGGACCATATCATATATACTGTCCATAAGACCATATGATGTATAATGTCCATAATCTGGACCCGTGGGTTTATCTGAGGTGTTGAGGGACGAGTGTGTGGAAATAAAGGCATTGGGGAGTTTATAGGGACAGAGAGAGAAATCCTGAGAAGTTGAGAAAACATTGGAAATGTTGTAAAGATCATAGAGTAGTTAGTGATATGAAATCATTTTTACAGAGTGAAAATAATCTGAAAAAGTTTTATTCTGGATGCAGTTGTTATGACTGTTCATATATAACTTTCATAAGAGTGTAAATATGATTTGGCAATTAAGGGGAACCTGTGGATTTATTATGAGTCGAATTAAATATCAGAGTCCCGGAGCCAGCAGTCAGTGTGTGTTGATGTGTGTGTGTTGGCCAGGTCATGGGGGTCTGAATCAGCTCGGAGGAATGTTTGTGAACGGCCGGCCGCTCCCCGAGGTGATCCGGCAGAGGATCGTGGATATGGCACATCAGGGCGTCAGACCCTGCGACATCTCCAGACAACTGAGGGTCAGTCACGGGTGCGTCAGCAAGATCCTGGGCAGGTGAAGAGTCCACACACACACACACACACACACACACACACACACACAGAGACACACACCATACTTCCTGGTTCTGGTCAGAACTGGAGCGGCTGCGTTTTGGACGAGCTGGAGTTTGTTTATTAAGCGTTCAGGACAAACACCCAGTAGAGCATTACAGTCATCTAGCCTTGAGCTCATGAACACATCAACTAACTGTCCCGCATTCGTCAGTGAGAGCATATGGAGTAAATTAGAGATATTGTTAAGATGGAAGAATTCGGTTTTACAGACACTAGAAACATGGCTTTCAAATGAGAGATTGGTATCAAAGAGCACACACACACACACACACACACACATACACACACACTCCTAACCGACGGCGAGTGTTAGACAGTATTCTGGGTTATTATACGACTACGTTTTTTTGGCCAATAATCAGAATCTTTGTTTTTCTGAATTTAAGGACAGGTTTGATATTTTACACTTAAAGCCCATCGTTTCTATAAATAACGGTTAACATTGAAATGCTGGCCTGAGAATTTTTCGGTTTCTGTGGTTGCACAAACACACCACATTTATATATATATAGCGGCTCTGGAGTGAATCGTGATGTCATCATCAGCTCTGTTCAGTTCTCATATAATGCCGTCGATGCAGGAGATCAGTAATATTGCCGAATATTAAATGGACCCGCTGGTACACGAGTTTTGTTGTAATGGTCATTTCTCCTTCAGGTACTATGAGACGGGCAGCATTAAACCAGGGGTCATTGGAGGCTCGAAGCCGAAGGTCGCGACCCCTAAAGTGGTGGAGAAGATCGCGGAGTACAAGCGGCAGAACCCAACCATGTTCGCGTGGGAGATCCGGGACCGGCTGCTGGCCGAGGGAGTGTGTGACGGGGACACCGTGCCCAGCGTCAGCTCCATCAACAGGTACGTGACCTCTGACCTCATGGACAACAGAGGTTAGATGAACTCTTGTCACCCGCTGTTTCTTCTCTCACAGGATCATTCGCACAAAAGTTCAGCAGCCTTTCAATCTGCCTCTGGACAGTAAAGGCCTGAGTCCTGGACACACACTGAGTGAGGAGACCCACTGATGACCCATTAAAGCTGTTTCCCAGTGTGCACTGCGGCCCAGTAATAATGCTGTGTGCTTCTGCTCAGTTCCCAGTTCAGCCGTGACGCCTCCCGAATCTCCCCAGTCGGACTCACTGGGATCCACCTACTCCATCAGCGGCTTACTGGGAATCCCTCAGACCGGCGCCGAGGGCAAGAGGAGCCGCGACGACAGTGAGTGTGTGTGTGTGTGTGTGTGTGTGTGTGTGTGATGGACTGGTTATCTGAGATATCCAACATCTTTAACCCAGTCTGGCAAATGAATGAATGATGGATGTAATGCAATTTCAGTCGATGAGATGATTTCCAGACCAGACACTGATATACTGAGCGAACCTCTGATATTCCTCAAACCCACAGTCACACACACACACACACACACACACACACACACACACACACACACACACACACACACACACACACACACACACACACACACACACACACACACAGCTTCAACATTCTCACATTATCAGTTCATTATACAGTTAAAGGAACTCAGAGTTCTCAGATCAGTGGATATTTGACTGGTTTTGTCCTTCTGTTGGACTCTAATAGCAGTTTAGCTCAACCAGTGCCCAAGCAATGCTTCATGTTGTTCAGTGTGTGTGTAAAAGAGCATTAGCACTTACAGAAAACACACTTCAGCAGAACATCATCAGCTCAAAGTGGAGGAGTCACTTCTGCTCCTGAATGATTATTAATGTCACTGGATGAGGAATATTTGGGTATAATATGCCACACTTGTCAACACTAATCAAAACTGATATCTGGTGTCTGAATAAGGTTTGGTTTGACTGTATATCTGTTTACATGAGGGATCTGGGCTGGGTTGGGGGAATGCATTGCTGGAAGTCTTTGACTGTCACGAATGAAAGCTGTGGTGAATCAGTGCTTTTCAGGATTTGTAGAAGTGTGTGTGTGTGTGTGTGTGTGCATGACTGAGGTGTCTTAAACACAGATCGGTGTTTGATTGACAGGTGATCAGGAGAGCTGTCGGCACAGTGTGGACTCGCAGGGAAGCGGGACCGGGTCCCGGAAACATCTTCGGACCGAACACTTCCCGACCCAGCAGGACTGTGGCTTCCAGCGGAACCAGTACAGCTCCGACTCCTTCAGCCACAGCACTGGGAAAGCGGAGCAGGTGCGACACCCATATAACAGAACCTATAATGACAGAGATTACATAATACACTTTACATATAGCTTATATTTTTTATATACTGCAATATATGCATTGACCATGAATGGCGATATATTGATACATATTACATATTTATAAATGAAGACAAAATTGGCAATACATGTAGTATTCACATTGCACATACATGTTCCCATATACATGGGAATATTAATGTGTGTTCATACTAACACACAGGTATATAAACGCACACACACACACACACACACACACACAATCACGGAATAAGTTACAACAGATTTCTAGTTCCCAGCATGCTTTGCTTCTGACTGTTAAAGGAGAGCAATGTGAAGTGTATTACTGAATATAAAATAACACATTATGTTATATTAGTAAATATATTGTCATATTTTTTTTTAAATATAGGAAAAGCGGCAATTCCTTATGTATTATTCATATCCTAATGTTAGGGTTATCATTCATTATTATATTGCGATATATTAACAGAATATATTATTCCATATATTTTGAAATATACTGTTAAACCATTTAATATATTGATAATTCACATATATGTAGGGAAATGTATAACAGGCATGTCATTCAGAGCTGAGCTCTCTCTCTCTCTCTCTCTCTCTCTCTCTCCTGCAGTCTCTCTATCCTCTCTCGCTCATCAATGGCAGCTTGGACGAGGGGAAGAGTGGCTCAGTTATCAGTCGAAACCTGGCAGCACATCAGGGATACGCAGTGGTTTCAGGTAATAACCATCATCCATATGCAAACGCTGCACTGTGATTACTCTTCGTCATTTGTTCCGTATTTACAAGAGAAAGAGGGGCACGTTTACTGTATGAAAAGACACTTCCAGAGCAACACATTACACAGTTCATTTAGCAAACTGCTCAGTCCTGCTTACTACACACTCCCCAAACTCATAATTCATATTTAATTGTTGTATTTGTAATTTGTGTTATCATTTAGCATATTTGCTCATACTATTAGTTATTACTCTAATCCATTTCATTAACATTCATACATGAATTTTCCCACCCGCCTGTCAACCCATTGCTCCGCCCAGAAGCCCTACAGCCCCGCCCACTCTGCCTGAAACAGGAAGTGTCCCCCGAGGTGAACAGCTCAAGCTCCTCCCCCAACATCATCGCTAACTCCGCGTTCCTGGAGCTCACGGCCATCTCGGCTCCGGCGTCAGTGTCCATCGCTAACAGTTGCAGCAACGCCACTCATTTATCTCATGGCTTCAGCTCATTTTCCCATCATGCCCCAGTGCAGGGGCAGTTCAGCAGCCCACACCTCATCACAGGTAAAGCCCATCTCATCATCATCCTGTGTGTGCTTAAGACTGAGCTGTGAGTGTGTGGTTCTCTAAGACTGAGCAGTGAGTGTGTGGTTCTCTAAGACTGAGCAGTGAGTGTGTGGTTCTCTAAGTGTGTGGTTCTCTAAGACTGAGCAGTGTGTGTGTGGTTCTCTAAGACTGAGCAGTGAGTGTGTGGTTCTCTAAGACTGAGCAGTGAGTGTGTGGTTCTCTAAGACTGAGCTGTGAGTGTGTGGTTCTCTAAGACTGAGCAGTGTGTGTGTGGTTCTCTAAGACTGAGCAGTGAGTGTGTGGTTCTCTAAGACTGAGCAGTGAGTGTGTGGTTCTCTAAGACTGAGCAGTGAGTGTGTGGTTCTCTAAGACTGAGCAGTGAGTGTGTGGTTCTATAAGACTGAGCTGTGAATGTGTGGTTCTCTAAGACTGAGCTGTGAGTGTGTGGTTCTCTAAGACTGAGCTGTGAGTGTGTGGTTCTCTAAGACTGAGCAGTGTGTGTGTGGTTCTATAAGACTGAGCTGTGAGTGTGTGGTTCTCTAAGACTGAGCAGTGTGTGTGTGGTTCTCTAAGACTGAGCAGTGAGTGTGTGGTTCTCTAAGACTGAGCAGTGAGTGTGTGGTTCTCTAAGACTGAGCAGTGAGTGTGTGGTTCTATAAGACTGAGCTGTGAATGTGTGGTTCTCTAAGACTGAGCTGTGAATGTGTGGTTCTCTAAGACTGAGCTGTGAGTGTGTGGTTCTCTAAGACTGAGCAGTGAGTGTGTGGTTCTCTAAGTCTGAGCTGTGAGTGTGTGGTTCTCTAAGACTGAGCAGTGAGTGTGTGGTTCTCTAAGTCTGAGCTGTGAGTGTGTGGTTCTATAAGACTGAGCTGTGAGTGTGTGGTTCTCTAAGACTGAGCAGTGAGTGTGTGGTTCTCTAAGTCTGAGCTGTGAGTGTGTGGTTCTCTAAGTCTGAGCTGTGAGTGTGTGGTTCTCTAAGACTGAGCTGTGAGTGTGTGGTTCTCTAAGACTGAGCAGTGAGTGTGTGGTTCTCTAAGACTGAGCAGTGAGTGTGTGGATCTCTAAGACTGAGCTGTGAGTGTGTGGTTCTCTAAGACTGAGCAGTGAGTGTGTGGTTCTCTAAGACTGAGCTCTGAGTGTGTGGTTCTCTAAGACTGAGCAGTGAGTGTGTGGTTCTCTAAGTCTGAGCTGTGAGTGTGTGGTTCTATAAGACTGAGCAGTGAGTGTGTGGTTCTATAAGACTGAGCTGTGAATGTGTGGTTCTCTAAGACTGAGCAGTGAGTGTGTGGTTCTCTAAGACTGAGCTGTGAGTGTGTGGTTCTCTAAGACTGAGCAGTGAGTGTGTGGTTCTCTAAGACTGAGCTCTGAGTGTGTGGTTCTCTAAGACTGAGCAGTGAGTGTGTGGTTCTCTAAGTCTGAGCTGTGAGTGTGTGGTTCTATAAGACTGAGCAGTGAGTGTGTGGTTCTATAAGACTGAGCTGTGAGTGTGTGGTTCTCTAAGTCTGAGCAGTGAGTGTGTGGTTATCTAAGACTGAGCTGTGAGTGTGTGCTTCTCTAAGACTGAGCAGTGAGTGTGTGGTTCTCTAAGACTGAGCAGTGAGTGTGTGGTTCTCTAAGACTGAGCAGTGAGTGTGTGGTTCTCTAAGACTGAGCAGTGAGTGTGTGGTTCTCTAAGACTGAGCAGTGAGTGTGTGGTTCTCTAAGACTGAGCAGTGAGTGTGTGGTTCTCTAAGACTGAGCTGTGAGTGTGTGGTTCTCTAAGACTGAGCTGTGAGTGTGTGGTTCTCTAAGACTGAGCTGTGAGTGTGTGGTTCTCTAAGTCTGAGCAGTGAGTGTGTGGTTCTCTAAGACTGAGCTGTGAGTGTGTGGTTCTCTAAGACTGAGCTGTGAGTGTGTGGTTCTCTAAGTCTGAGCTGTGAGTGTGTGGTTCTCTAAGACTGAGCAGTGAGTGTGTGGTTCTCTAAGACTGAGCTGTGAGTGTGTGGTTCTTTAAGACTGAGCAGTGAGTGTGTGGTTCTCTAAGACTGAGCTCTGAGTGTGTGGTTCTCTAAGACTGAGCAGTGAGTGTGTGGTTCTCTAAGTCTGAGCTGTGAGTGTGTGGTTCTATAAGACTGAGCAGTGAGTGTGTGGTTCTATAAGACTGAGCTGTGAATGTGTGGTTCTCTAAGACTGAGCAGTGAGTGTGTGGTTCTCTAAGACTGAGCTGTGAGTGTGTGGTTCTCTAAGACTGAGCAGTGAGTGTGTGGTTCTCTAAGACTGAGCTGTGAGTGTGTGGTTCTCTAAGACTGAGCAGTGAGTGTGTGGTTCTCTAAGACTGAGCTGTGAGTGTGTGGTTCTCTAAGACTGAGCAGTGAGTGTGTGGTTCTCTAAGACTGAGCTCTGAGTGTGTGGTTCTATAAGACTGAGCTGTGAGTGTGTGGTTCTCTAAGACTGAGCAGTGAGTGTGTGGTTCTATAAGACTGAGCTCTGAGTGTGTGGTTCTCTAAGACTGAGCTGTGAGTGTGTGGTTCTCTAAGACTGAGCAGTGAGTGTGTGGTTCTCTAAGACTGAGCTCTGAGTGTGTGGTTCTCTAAGACTGAGCTGTGAGTGTGTGGTTCTGTAAGACTGAGCAGTGAGTGTGTGGTTCTATAAGACTGAGCTGTGAGTGTGTGGTTCTATAAGACTGAGCTCTGAGTGTGTGGTTCTCTAAGACTGAGCTGTGAGTGTGTGGTTCTCTAAGACTGAGCTGTGAGTGTGTGGTTCTCTAAGACTGAGCTGTGAGTGTGTGGTTCTCTAAGTCTGAGCAGTGAGTGTGTGGTTCTCTAAGACTGAGCTGTGAGTGTGTGGTTCTCTAAGACTGAGCTGTGAGTGTGTGGTTCTCTAAGTCTGAGCTGTGAGTGTGTGGTTCTCTAAGACTGAGCAGTGAGTGTGTGGTTCTCTAAGACTGAGCTGTGAGTGTGTGGTTCTTTAAGACTGAGCAGTGAGTGTGTGGTTCTCTAAGACTGAGCTCTGAGTGTGTGGTTCTCTAAGACTGAGCAGTGAGTGTGTGGTTCTCTAAGTCTGAGCTGTGAGTGTGTGGTTCTATAAGACTGAGCAGTGAGTGTGTGGTTCTATAAGACTGAGCTGTGAATGTGTGGTTCTCTAAGACTGAGCAGTGAGTGTGTGGTTCTCTAAGACTGAGCTGTGAGTGTGTGGTTCTCTAAGACTGAGCAGTGAGTGTGTGGTTCTCTAAGACTGAGCTGTGAGTGTGTGGTTCTCTAAGACTGAGCAGTGAGTGTGTGGTTCTCTAAGACTGAGCTGTGAGTGTGTGGTTCTCTAAGACTGAGCAGTGAGTGTGTGGTTCTCTAAGACTGAGCTCTGAGTGTGTGGTTCTATAAGACTGAGCTGTGAGTGTGTGGTTCTCTAAGACTGAGCAGTGAGTGTGTGGTTCTATAAGACTGAGCTCTGAGTGTGTGGTTCTCTAAGACTGAGCTGTGAGTGTGTGGTTCTCTAAGACTGAGCAGTGAGTGTGTGGTTCTCTAAGACTGAGCTCTGAGTGTGTGGTTCTCTAAGACTGAGCTGTGAGTGTGTGGTTCTCTAAGACTGAGCAGTGAGTGTGTGGTTCTATAAGACTGAGCTGTGAGTGTGTGGTTCTATAAGACTGAGCTCTGAGTGTGTGGTTCTCTAAGACTGAGCTGTGAGTGTGTGGTTCTATAAGACTGAGCAGTGAGTGTGTGGTTCTCTAAGACTGAGCAGTGAGTGTGTGGTTCTATAAGACTGAGCAGTGAGTGTGTGGTTCTATAAGACTGAGCTGTGAATGTGTGGTTCTCTAAGACTGAGCAGTGAGTGTGTGGTTCTCTAAGACTGAGCTGTGAGTGTGTGGTTCTCTAAGACTGAGCAGTGAGTGTGTGGTTCTCTAAGACTGAGCAGTGAGTGTGTGGTTCTCTAAGACTGAGCAGTGAGTGTGTGGTTCTCTAAGTGTGTGGTTCTCTAAGACTGAGCAGTGTGTGTGTGTTTCAGGGAGAGAAGTGTCGAGCTCCATGCTCCCTGGTTATCCTCCGCACATCCCATCGGCTCAGACCGGCTTCTCCTCGTCCTCCATCACCGGGATGGTTGCAGGTAAAGGAGCTTCATCAACTCTCCTGGGGCATGTTAATGGAATAGTTCACTTCAAAATTAAAATTCTGTCATCATTTACTCACCCTTAAGTTGTTTCAAAGCTGTATGAGTTTCTTTCGTCTTCTGATCTTAAAGGGTTAGTTCACCCAAAAATGAAAATTCTGTCAGTATTTACTCACCCTCATGTTGTTCCAACGCCGTAAGACCTTCGTTCATCTTCGGAACACAAATTAAGATATTTAGGATATTAAAATCGCTCCTGCATACAGTCCATAGGCTTCTTGAGGGACTGGCTCTTGCTGTCCTCGAAAAGTAATTGAAGACATCGTTAAAATAGTCCAAGTGACTACAGGGGCTCAATCTTAAGTTTATCAAACGACGAGAACACTTTTGTGCGCAAAAAAACAACAAAAATAACGACTTTATTTCAACTATTCGTTTATTTCTCCCTCTGCGCGAGTCAGCTAACTAGTTTAATAGCGTAAGCTTCTGTTGTTGTACGTCACACGCATCACACACATGACCAGCGTCGACCAATAGTGAGCCTACGTGTGACGTAGCTCTACGCAATCACACTACGTTAACGGACTATAGGCTTATGGAGAAGGAAGTGAATAGTTGAAATAAAGTCGTTATTTTTGTTGTTTTTTTGCGCACAAAAGTGTTCTCGTCGTTTGATAAACTTAAGATTGAGCCCCTGTAGTCACTTGGACTATTTTAACGATGTCTTCAATTACTTTTCGAGGACAGCAAGAGCCAGTCCCTCAAGAAGCCTATGGACTAGTATGCAGGAGCGATTTTAATATCCTAAATATCTTAATTTGTGTTCCGAAGATGAACGAAGGTCTTACGGCGTTGGAACAACATGAGGGCGAGTAAATACTGACAGAATTTTCATTTTTGGGTGAACTAACCCTTTAAAGGAAGATATTTTGAAGAATGTGGGTAACCAAACAGTTGATGGACCCCATTGACTTCCATTGTAGGAAAAAAATACTATGGAAGTCAATGGGGTCCATCAACTTTGGTTACAGACATTCTTCAAAATATTTTCTGTTCAGCAGAAGAAAGAAACTCATAGAGGTTTGAAACAACTTGAGGGAGAACTATAGGGAGAAGTGAACTATTCCTTTAAGGGAAGTGTCACTATTAAGACGGGTTTATTTCTAAACAACATTTAGATATGATTTTTCAAATAAGACATTGGTTGTTTTCTGTACTGATGTGGACGATGAAGTTGAACTCATGTGAAGTCGAGTCTCCTTCATCTATACAGCGGTGTAACAGCACAGAGTTTCACAGCGGCTTCACAGTGATAACAGGAGATTACAGTAACAGAGAGTGTTTAGGCTTGACAGCAGATCTGGAATAAAGTTATTGTCCAGATAAAGTTAGTTTTAATTGATTTACTTTCCGTTATAAAGATCATTAGTTATTAGCTTCGCGGCCGCTAGCACGAAACCGCTCTAACAGCACATCCTTAATGCGATCCGGCCGATCACACACACACACAACAGTGAAGAGAACACACACCTTGAAACTTTTTTGGAAAAAAAGTTTATCTCTGCACAAACTTCAAAAACACAAAGACTGACGGCGCACATGTGCATTAGTGTTTAGTCTATAGGTGTGCGCGTTTGAATATATATGTGTATAGGCATGTAGTCTTTCTCTACAAGTTGACCTCGACAAATCACTCGTCTGGCCTTAAAAATGAATAATACAGAATTATGTATCGCTTCCCCATAACCACGTCAACCGGAATTATTTTGACAACGATTCTCTGTACTAGTGACACTTAAGGACTGCGGTGTCGTCGCGTCCAGACGGAGTGTGTGTGTGTGTGTGAGTGTGTGTGACGCAGGTCCTTCATCAGATCTGGATACGGCCTGGATCCGGCGGACTGCGGTAAACCTTGGGATTAACAGAGAGACTAATATTAGCGTAGACGCCATCCCAGCCAATGCAGGGTTGACAGAACCGGGCTAATATGGTCAATCTTCCTGGTTCTGGTCAGATCTGGAGCGGCTGCGTTTTGGACGAGCTGGAGTTTGTTTATTAAGCGTTCAGGACAAACACCCAGTAGAGCATTACAGTCATCTAGCCTTGAGCTCATGAACACATCAACTAACTGTCCCGCATTCGTCATTTCGTAGCTCATGCGCTCTTCTGGATGGATGCACCTCCAAACCACTGATAAACAACACATGTACATGTGCTTAATGATATAGTTCTAACGTTAAACATCTAAATAGAGGGAGTTGTTAATTAAAGCGCGAATCATAACCATTACTGAACATGTTTCTAGAGGAAACACCTTATTATTTTTGGACATGTTAGTACTACCAAACTTTAACCATAGAGAGTTCAAAATTCACAGTGAATTGGTGTGAAATAGAACAGACAGCATTAAAATCACAAAGTGCACACACACACACACACACACACACACACACACTATATATATATATACAAAATTTCTTAGCGTTAGTCCTGCTCATTTGTAGGGTCCGCTTGATTTGATTTATTTGCACACGTGGGATTTGGCCCGGGTTTTACGCCGGATGCACAGAGTCAATGGCACTAATACACAACTAATACACAACTAATACACACGACTGATACACAAACACAAAGGATTCTCTGCATCAGCTCTGCTCTAGCTTGAACACTAATCTAGCTTCGACTTTAAACTTGCTCTGAATCGGGCTCTTATGACAAATGGCCTGTGATGTTCCTCATTTGGATAAAAACATCTGCTAAATGAACACATGTAAATGCTTAGCAACAGTTTCACACACACAACAGCCACTCACATTTTCTTGAGGAAATGCAGCGATCTAGTTTTGTGATTAAAACAGTGGACTCATAAATGCGTTTCTCTGAAACATGAATGTGTGTAGCGCGTGAGAACGCCGGGGGCCGAGTTAGAGATTAACAGGAGAACGGGTGGGTTAATCAGTAGATGTGGAGGGACCGGGGCAGGAGTTCTGCACTGATGCCCGACCACACACACACACACACACACACACCACAGGGGCCCGCTGAGGGATCAGGATTATTAGTCCGAGAGAGACCAGAGCGATGGAGAGAAAGACAGTCTGAGGTGGAGACACACCATGAATGAGTGCACAATCTATATGGAAAGCATATACAGAGAGAGAGAGAGAGAGAGAGAGAGGGAGAGAGAGAGTATCCATTAAGGAACAAACGGCAGGAGGAGCACAAGCTCTGCAGAGACGGAGATGCACTTCTCTTTTTTCATATGAAGTCTGCCCTGCCAAGCGCGAAATGAGAGGGTCTGATTTATTATTTTTCTGGTGGTCTCGCTGAGAGGAAGCGTTCATACACAATTACTCACTGAAGGGGGGATTCAATCCGGCTCCCGTAATTACCAATTAGATATTGGAATGTTAAAAGAAAGAATGGCCGAGGGAGGCCTGAAGGAGTGAGTGAGGGATGGAGAGAGAGTGGAGACTGTATGCACCAGTGATCAGCTGTGGGATTAATGGTTTACAGTCTCTAACCGCCAGTGAAGGATGTGCTGGAGCTCCACAAACAGACACTCACAGCACGAGTGTGTTCATAACCGAGGGGCGGTTGGCATGGCTGTCGTTGCTGTTGTCTAGTTTGATGTGTTTAATGTGTGTGTGTGTGTGTGTACCCTGCAGGACCGGAGTACTCGGGCCAGACCTACACACACCCGTCCTACACGTCCTACAGCGACGCCTGGAGATTCACCAACTCCACCATCTTAGGTGAGTGCGACAGTGGGTCTCGCTTTCACTTCTCCATCCCATCACACACGCTTACATGTTATGCACTAACGACGACCTGTGTACACCCAAACGAGACTGCCGTGCCCTTCAACTATTGCATAAAGTTTCAGTCACATGAAACTCTGAAGTGGTTTTTCCCTCTGAAGTGCCTTCAGGCTGTTGAGTTTTCTGTGGAAATAAATAATGGCACAGTCATAAGACGGCCATTAGCCCTCGAGCTACACAAGCAAATCACTCTATTCTACCTTCACTCTCATGCACTATATAAGATTATATCACAGAATGTCTAATTGAAGAGAATCGGCACTGGCTGGTTACTTCCGGGTTCTGGACTGGCTGCAGTAACGCGTCTCTGTCCATGCGGGGGCGCTCGCGGTCGACTGCAGAATGAATGGGAGTCAATGGGGTTTCACCCCCAGAAATCCACTTTTCTCGGGATGTAATTTTTTGTCAAGTAATTTCAAAGTTGTATTCAAAAGGGAGGACTAAGATAATACACTCAGCTGAAAATTGCATTTTTAAGTTCACTTATCTGTTCTAAAAATCCGTTCAAAACTGTGATGTGCCAAGGCTCTCCGTTAGACGGGCTCTGCTTATATCCTCTAATCCGCTGTGGTGTATTGATGTTTGCCTGTCGCCCCCTGCAGGATCCCCGTATTACTACAGCTCCTCCTCGCGGGCTCCGCCCTCCGCCTACGACCATCTCTAGGAGAAGCTTTCTCTTCTTACACTGGATTATGAAGAAAACCTCGAGCTTCTCTTCTTACACTGGAGAATACAGTGGAGGATGAAGAAAACAGATTGATGATGATGGACGATACCTTTTATTGCCTGTAAAACTATTTATGTCCTTTGTACACGGCCTGATTAAAGGCCATTTACAGCCACACGTTTACATCTTATTCCACCAGTGAACAATTGTTGCCTGTATTTTTATTTCTCTGTAGCCAAAGACATTTCACAATGTTTCCATATATTCATGGCCAGAAACACGAGTGCACATGAAACTGATTATATCAAACCCAATCCACGCAAATTCAAATAGTAGCCTATTAATAACTCTAAAGAAGGTGAGAAACATCGCGACCGTTTCACTGCTTGCGAACATTAGACGGGCGAATCTTTTTGAGCTCGTGACATTTGATGGCGTTTGGATTGGATTGAGGGAACTGGTGTCTGTCGGGCCAGCGCTGTCTCGCGACCCATTCACGACCTCACTCGTACGAACTGTCTGAACCGCAGTGGTGGGTGGGTTTAGGGGCGGGGTCAGGGGCCATCCGGACGAATTAACCACCTCGTAAAATCCGAGATCGAATTGCCGAGAGATTGGGTTGGATGGGCTGTATCATATTCAAGCATTAAATATCTTTTAAACAAAATATAAATAACAGCTTACCTTTAACAAAAAGATTATTTCGCCATCTTTCAACAGAAGCAGCATTTTCAGAAACAATTAAAGATGTTTAACGGTTTAGGGCAATATGTAAATAATGAAGAGAAAGCCAACCCTTATTAAAATTAAATTCATTTTCTATACTCTAGACATGATTATTAGGGCTGAACTGTGTGGGGATTCATTAGTTTCAGTAAAACGTTTATCGCCTCTATTTTTCCATCTTATCATGCTTATATTTCTGTGATTAAACGAGTTTTGAGTTTCAGAGATTACTGTTATTGTACTGTTAATTATATTATTCAAATGTAAATTAATAATTTCTACAGAATTATTTTGAATTAAATAAAGCATGTCAAAGTCCACTCTTGTGTTTCCCTAATTTATCTGTCTTGTAAAACAATAATAAGCGTGGTTGTAAATGAATAGCTACTAATCTATTCCGTATCAGATAGCAAACAGCTTGAATGATTGTTCTTCAATAAATCAAACTTGTAATTATGAAGGCTATTGGCCGCTGCTAGACCAGGGAAGTTGGAGGTGATGGGGTGTTTCTATACTGTTTTGCTGTTGGAAACCATAATTTATTATGTTGCTTATTTTTGGCCAGTCAGCGGTTTAACAGAACACATGAAAGGGACAAAAGCAATGATCCTGAAAACATGCGCATCTGTTTAATTTCCTTTTTTATTTTCTGCATCACGTACTTTTATTTGCAATTATTTCTCGCCTCTTTGTGGCCTCATTATAATTAATGGCTCTTTAACGAGGCCGCGGCCCACCTGGATCCCGTGCGCGCGCCCGTGATGAACGAACGGAACCGGAACTGGGAGTACGCGCGCCCGGGGCTTTGAGCACGCGCTGATCAGAATCCGGAGACGATAAAAACACGAATGAATGTATGAGGACTGAAGTCTAGATGTAGCCGGCGGTAATGTTAATAACATCAGTTTAACCATTTGGAAATGAGCTAGTGGTGAAATCACACATGAGCATCACCTTGATGCGACCGCAGTCCCTCACTTATGGATATAATAATCATCCAGGGTTTTCCTGCAAGACCTACATGTACCTCTAGTGGGAGAATATAGGCTACGCACAATAAATAGGCTAATACAAGTACATCAGGCCTCAATAAATTGTAACAATGCACTCGTTATACCTTGTGAATATGAAGATTTATAATAGAAAATATAAATAAAGCATGTTATAGCTTGTTTTCATATGACGTCACACCATTGCGTTGCCATGGCGCGAAATGCAAATGGCGGGCAGGAAGTGATTTGTTGCATTTAGAAAGCACTATAACAAACTTAAAATGCCTGTGTTTTGCGTAGTTTATGTTTACTTAAATCGATCAAACCACAAGGAGTTTTTATCGTGTACCAAAAGCTGCTGTTCATGAGGGGGGGAAATGCAAGAAATTGACAGAAAAACGCCTTGCAAACCTACGGGAGGAGCCGAATGGGAAAATGCCCGTCCGTGTGTGCAGTGATCACTTCGTTAAAGGTGAGTTAATACAACTTAAGTGGCTATGTTTGTGTAACGTGTATAATTTCCGAACTTTGTAAAGTCAAAGTATGTCTGTAAAACGAGCTATTGCTGATATACCGCCTCGATGGCAGGAAAATCTTTTAATTCAGTTGAAAAATCGCTCCTCTTCATAACGTAAGGATCACGTCCAACATGTTTGTTTTTTTGTTTATATCTTTCTCTTGTCATAGCGTATAAAGTAGCACAGTATGGACTTTCATCCATCTCGTCCATTGCACTCTTCACTCCCTGCCCTCCGTCTGAATTCTGCGCGTCATCATAATCATGTGACTGAAATCCAGCTATTGAGTTTTATTTTGAACTCAGTTGTAGGTGTAAATATTATAGCCTATCCTTCAAATCTGTTTCCTGATCAAATCACTCTTTATCTCATTCACATGTACAATTTTACACCAATTATGATACATAGATGTTCTTTTGTAAGGAAAATGTTGAAGAGCAGTTTAAGGAAAACCCCGATTGGCACACCTATAGATTTTGTTCTGCATGCAAACACTTAACAGTGTAATTTCTGTTCAAATCAAGTTACTTTATTTGTACCCGAAGGTAGATTTTGTTCGCAGTAGAGTCTCACATACATACACACATATGGAAAAACAAAAAGAGAGAACACATACATATCACACCTCATTCAAATTACAAAAAAATAAAAAAATAAATTAAAATAAATAAAATAAAAAGTTCTTATCGGTCCAGAATAGATTAAAACACTAAGCAATAATAGCAATAATAAAATAGATAAAACAAATAAAACACCTGTGTAGAGTGTAGTTATGACTTATTCCTCAGTGTGATGGCTGCATAAATAATACTGTTTTGTGTCTTTTTGTGTCTTGAGACCGAAGCATTGCAGAGATGCAGCCTCAAGAGTCACTGTGGCATCATGCCTCAACTTTGTTGCTATGGTATACAAAAATGGATTCGTCTATCAACACGGTCTGGAGATGATACGATTACATTTTTGTGAAAATAGGACAAACGATTTAGGAGTAGTTTTGTAAGAAAATCAAAATAGAGGACAGGAATTTTGTCCAAATATGGCAAAATTTGTATAATGTTCTCGGCCTGACCCAAAGAATCTATTAAAGCCAGTTTCATTACAATAGGCTAATTTAATCTAAAGTATTAGCCTTTTGGGAAATTTTTGACCACAAGGTGGCATTGCCCCGAGACTTTATGAGTACTGTCAGGCATGATGCCGAAGACACATACCAACTTTCGTAACTATACTCCAGTGCGTTAGTCCGTATTTTAAAAATGGCTAACACCCAAAATGGGAAAATTGGCTATTGTTTGACTTTGCATGCTGCCTCAAATCTCAAGAGAAGTTTTGTGATTTTTGGCCAAAGCATTCAGAATATAGAAGCAAAACAAGATATTTTTCACCTCTCCAGACCACTAGGTGGCACTGCGCTGAAACTGTGCATGTAGCCTCAGGTCATGCTTATCGTAACACACACCAATTTTGTCAGAATGCGCTAAAGCGATGGGCACTTTATTCGTTATTTTATTTTACACCGTTATTCGAGAACGGTGTGCTGCATCAATTTGAATTCCAGAAATGTTTGTGGGCACGGTCTGAAGTTAATCTGGTCCAATTTTCGTGAAAATCGGAGTGACGGAGTTTGAAAATAGGTTTTTCGCAAAATTCAAAATGGTGAAAAAACAACGCACACGGAAAATGGCGTAAATCATCAAAAAAAATTTGGTTTCTATACCTTATGGTTCAGTCGTTATTAGTACAAATATGAGTGCAACTTTGGCCAGTTGGTGGCGCTACAGCGATTGAGTTAGAGACTCCAAACTTGCTATGCTGACAGTTCCGACTGTCCTCAATCTGTGTGCCAGATCTCATAACCATAACCATAATCTCATAACTGTCCCATAACTCTTCTCTGGCCACCGTAGACTTCCAGAGCGGAAGAAGAAGAACGCTAACGGAGACGATGGGGATCAACGCACCTTTAGTGCTTGAGCCCTAGAAATGTGACACAAAATCCCCTCCTGTTATCAACCTCAAAAACTGTCTGCCAGCGATGCCAACTGGGCTTCTGCCCGCTGCGTAATGACAACTATCAAACCTTGATGCTGCTGGAGTCCAGAGAGGGTGACAAAACAAGAGTGTGTGGCCATAAAGGCACTGATAATATTCCTCGCTGAACCCCCCCCCCCCCCCCCCGCCCCTCGACTGAGGCCTATTAGCGCTGCGCTCGCTACCGCTCCGCTAGTAATGAGTCCGCCAGCACAATACGGGCACCGGGCCGGAACCGCTGAGAGAGGACAAAGCTCTGAAAATGGGTCTGGCACAGCGGGCAGGAGTGTGTGGCACAGGAGTGTGTGGGCATGAGTTATTATCAGCACAGGAGTGTGTGGAGTGTGTGGGGTGTGTGGGCATGAGTGTGTGGGTATGAGTGTGTGGAGTGTGTGGGCATGAGTGTGTGCATGAGTGTGTGGGCATGAGTGTGTGGGGTGTGTGGGCATGAGTGTGTGGGTATGAGTGTGTGGAGTGTGTGGGCATGAGTGTGTGCATGAGTGTGTGGGCATGAGTTATTATCAGCACAGGAGTGTGTGGAGTGTGTGGGGTGTGTGTGCATGAGTGTGTGGGCATGAGTGTGTGGAGTGTGTGGGCATGAGTGTGTGGAGTGTGTGGGCATGAGTGTGTGGGGTGTGTGGGCATGAGTGTGTGGGTATGAGTGTGTGGAGTGTGTGGGCATGAGTGTGTGCATGAGTGTGTGGGCATGAGTTATTATCAGCACAGGAGTGTGTGGGCATGAGTGTGTGTGCATGAGTGTGTGGGCATGAGTGTGTGGAGTGTGTGGGCATGAGTGTGTGGAGTGTGTGGGCATGTGTATCTATCAGCACAGGAGCCAGAGATAGGCACACAGGGCTCTTTATGTGTGTGTGTGTGTTACAGAGAGAGAGAAAGCAAACCTTTACACTCCGCTGTCTGACACCCTTCGACAACAACAAACTCAAAGTACCGTCTAGAACCGTCGGAAGAGACGCTGTCATCTGACATCACGAGGCTGTTCTGCGGGTTATTTGTGGGTGCAGAGGGTCACTGTCGCTTTGACCCCAGATCGGGTGAATGAACACACCAACCCCAGTCATTCGTTTCAGTCGCATGCTAACTTATGAAATCTGCACACATTTTAATTACAATTAATTAGTGACCAGTTCTACTGAGCTCATTGTCCTCAGTGAGTTTGGTTTCTGTGGCGTGAACAGCATTCAGATCAACCCTAATTCATGCCAACAGGTTCATTATGCAAATGTGGACAAATTGTCAATCATGTTGTTTACCTTACCAAAGATGAGGTTCAGTCAGAGCAGAACAATCGCTGATGAACTGATCCATTTTAAACTTTCAACAACCAAAAACTTTGAAATTCACCAGCAGGTCCGTCACTCATGACCCCTGGACCGTTGGGATCGTCCTGGTTCCAACACGGGTGATATTGTTTACATTTTTGACTTTGAGTATGTGTTGATTGATGTCCGTTGTAAATCATTATTTATCAACCTAGGGTCCGTTTCCATAACACCATTTTCAACTGAAAACAGAACATTTTTAATGCATTCTGGCCGTTTGTTTACAAGACAACAACGTTTTGGTGGCCTGAGATTAAGAACACAAGCTATGAAATAGGTTTCAAAGTTTTGGGCTTTTGAAAACGAGATTTGAAAGCCATGTTATCATCTTCGTGTAAACTTCAAAAACGTGAATCAGAGGCAGAATGCGCATGTGTATTATGTGTTTAGTCTCTAGACATATGCGTTTGAATGTTTATTTGCGCAGGTGCGTAGACTTTCCTACTAAGTGACATTGCCAATCACAAGTCTAGCATTAATAATACAGCGTTTTTAGACTGTTTTTTTTTCTGATTTATTTGAACGGGAATCCTTTTGATAACATGGTCTTCTGTACAGAGGTCTTCTGTACTAACCCTAACCCTAACCCGAAGATGATAACATGGCTTTCAAATCTCGTTTTCAAAAGCCAAAAACTTTGAAACCTATTTCATAGCTTGTGTTCTTAATCTCAGGCCACCAAAACGTTGTTGTCTTGAAAATAAACGGCCAGAATGCATTAAAAATGTTCTGTTTTCAGTTGAAAATGGTGTTATGGAAACGGACCGTAGGTTGATAAATAATGATTTACAACGGACATCAATCAACACAACTTACTTAAACACTTAAACTTGGACATTAACTTTATTCTAGACCTGCTGTGAAGCCAAAACTATCTTAGGTGCATTATTTTCCTATTTTCACTGTAAAGCTGCTTTGAGACAATCTATAATGTAAAAGCTTGTCATTGTCTTTTGTCTTCAGGCTATGTTGTGAGTGTAATGCAGATCTGAGGCCAAACACAGGTCATCGAGATGCCCCAGGACACACACACCTTCGCCGGCTCACAGACACACACCAGCACTAATACAACTGCTCATCAGTGTTAGTCAACATCTCAGTGTGTGGAGCAGAATGAGAGAAAGAAACACTCGTGGATATAAATATGCATTTAAAGCATCTAAACTGGGAACATCCTCAACTAAACTGGGAACTTCTGATTGATAAAACCACTTTTCTCAATGTGACGCACACACAGCAACAAAACCACTGTAAAGTATGAGGAGATGGAGGGATGAATTGAAATGCTACTTGTAAGGGCTTATGAAATGGTTTTTACATTAACTGTCTTTCGCATCTCTGAGGAGTGATGAGGAACTATGAGGAGGGATGAGAAACTATGAGGAGCGATGAGGAACTATGAGGAGGGATGAGGAACTATGAGGAGCGATGAGGAGCGATGAGGAACTATGAGGAGCGATGAGGAGCGATGAGGAACTATGAGGAGCGATGAGGAGCGATGAGGAACTATGAGGAGGGATGAGGAACTATGAGGAGCGATGAGGAGCGATGAGGAACTATGAGGAGGGATGAGGAACTATGAGGAGCGATGAGGAGGGATGAGGAACTATGAGGAGCGATGAGGAGCGATGAGGAGCTATGAGGAGCGATGAGGAGCTATGAGGAGCGATGAGGAGCGATGAGGAACTATGAGGAGCGATGAGGAACTATGAGGAGCGATGAGGAACTATGAGGAGCGATGAGGAACTATGAGGAGCGATGAGGAACTATGAGGAGGGATGAGGAACTATGAGGAGCGATGAGGAGGGATGAGGAACTATGAGGAGCGATGAGGAGCGATGAGGAACTATGAGGAGCGATGAGGAACTATGAGGAGCTATGAGGAGCGATGAGGAGCGATGAGGAGCTATGAGGAGCGATGAGGAGCTATGAGGAGCGATGAGGAGCGATGAGGAACTATGAGGAGCGATGAGGAACTATGAGGAGCGATGAGGAACTATGAGGAGCGATGAGGAACTATGAGGAGCTATGAGGAGCGATGAGGAGCGATGAGAAACTATGAGGAGCGATGAGGAACTATGAGGAGCGATGAGGAGGGATGAGGAACTATGAGGAGCGATGTGGAACTATGAGGAGCGATGAGGAGCGATGAGGAGCGATGAGGAACTATGAGGAGCGATGAGGAACTATGAGGAGCGATGAGGAACTATGAGGAGCTATGAGGAGCGATGAGGAGCGATGAGGAGCTATGAGGAGCGATGAGGAGCTATGAGGAGCGATGAGGAACTATGAGGAGCGATGAGGAACTATGAGGAGCGATGAGGAACTATGAGGAGCGATGAGGAGTGACGAGGAACTATGAGGAGCGATGAGGAGTGACGAGGAACTATGAGGAGCGATGAGGAACTATGAGGAGCGATGAGGAGCGATGAGGAGCTATGAGGAGCGATGAGGAACTATGAGGAGCGATGAGGAGCTATGAGGAGCGATGAGGAACTATGAGGAGCGATGAGGAGCTATGAGGAGCGATGAGGAACTATGAGGAACTATGAGGAGCGATGAGGAACTATGAGGAGCGATGAGGAACTATGAGGAACTATGAGGAGCGATGAGGAGCGATGAGGAGCGATGAGGAACTATGAGGAACTATGAGGAACTATGAGGAGCGATGAGGAGCGATGAGGAGCGATGAGGAACTATGAGGAACTATGAGGAGCTATGAGGAGCGATGAGGAACTATGAGGAACTATGAGGAACTATGAGGAACTATGAGGAGCGATGAGGAGCTATGAGGAGCTATGAGGAGCTATGAGGAGCGATGAGGAGCGATGAGGAGCGATGAGGAACTATGAGGAACTATGAGGAACTATGAGGAGCTATGAGGAGCGATGAGGAGCGATGAGGAACTATGAGGAACTATGAGGAGCTATGAGGAGCGATGAGGAACTATGAGGAACTATGAGGAACTATGAGGAACTATGAGGAGCGATGAGGAGCTATGAGGAGCTATGAGGAGCTATGAGGAGCGATGAGGAGCGATGAGGAGCGATGAGGAACTATGAGGAACTATGAGGAGCGATGAGGAACTATGAGGAGCGATGAGGAGAATATAGAGCGAGAGTTAAGGCATCATCCGCTGAGTGTGAGCAATGACACAAAGAGGATTTCAGAGGAATGATGTCAGGAATTTTTGTGACAGACGAAGCGAGAAGGAGAAAGATGGAGGTGAGTGCTGTTAGGACCCTTAATGAAGAAAAGCCTCCGCTTGCCTTTTTAATTACTCAACCAGGCCTGACGAGAGACCACAAAACCCTTCAGCCAGACAGACGTGCAGGAACAAAAACACTGAACAACTCGAGCTAACTCTCTCTCTCACACACACACATCACGCTTCACAGCTCTGGCACTGAGCGCCTGCTCACATCACACACACACACACACACTCTCTCTCTCTCACACACACACACACACTCTCTCCTTCACACAAACACACGCTCCACGGCTCCGGCACTAAGCTTCTGCTCGCATCACACACACTCTCACACACACACACACACACACACACACACACACACACACACACACACACACACACACACACTCACATGAGCTTCAGCTGTTGTATGTGGAAGCTACAAAACAGGTTCAATGCCTAATTTGTGCAGCATTTCTCTAACGCTGTGTGTAGTGTATGTTCATGTAGGCTTCTTGAAAATACGTGTATTCAGCGGCTCCTCAAGTACAACATAATTAGTCTAGACATATTCAGGATCACACACCAACACTTGCAGAAGTCTGGCTCTATCTGAGGGGTGTTCACTCATTTTCTGACTCACTGACACTTTGATTGTTTTTTCCTCACAATCTGTTTACGTGTCAACAGGTGCATTTATCTGATATCGGCTTTTCAGATCTTTATCACATCCTGAGCCTAAAGGCCCAATCCATCACACAGATCCTCAGCTTCTGCTCTTAATCACGGGTTCTGTTTTAAATGGAAGGATATGAGATAATCACAAACACTCGGTACACAAGAGCCATTCAGCAGTGGCACGATCAGAGACCTCTTTATCACCATGATTTAAACAGAGACAAATGTTTGTGAGTGACAGCACTGAACACACTGTAGCTCTACTTCACTGATTACTGTGGCTCTGCTGACCACACGTTAAACTCTTCCTGAAGTGTGATAGTTATTGTCCTTCATTGAAACATCTTGAGCAACATCTCCCTCTTGTGGACAGTGTGAAGAGGGTCAAATAATAAGAGCTTTGTGCAAAAATACTGTATATTTAAAAAGACTGCAGCTGTTGCTATTTTTACCTTGGAAGAGATAGAAATTAAACATATATTAAAGGATGTTTAAAGGGTTCAAGTGCATGTATAATGTCTTGACAGTTTGTGGGTAACAGTTTCCAAAAGTGGTCAAATCTCCTTGTTCCTCCGAGGAATGATGATCTTTCGATATGTGCGTCTCTCTGAGATGTTGCGTCGGACCTTCACGACGGGCGGAGGAGGCGTCTCTAACTCCAGAGACGGGCTGGAGTGCGATCTCTTCATCCCAGGGTCTTCCTTGTCCTCCTCGTCCATCACTCCTGTCCACAATCCCTCATCCAGCTCCATCAGCCGGTCTGCCACCGGTGCGTCCGACAGCGTCTGCCAGGCCTCCAGCACCCTTATGTACACCTCGTAACGAGACTTCTGTGAAACACACAACAACAACAGGTACAGACAAAGAACAGATGCACCTCGTATGTGTGTGTGTGTGTGTGTGTGTGTGCACGCACCTCGTACTGCAGGTACTCCTCTCTCTGCCGGAGCTCCTCCTGTTCTCTGGCTCTGCTCTTCCGGCTCTCGATCCCGAACTCCTCCTGGAGAACACACAGATCCTGCTGGAAACTCTGCAACATTGACCCATGCGACTGGAGTTGCTTCTCCTGCTTGACACACACACACACACACACACACACACACACGCTAAACGAGTGTTCAACGAACCCGAAGACTCGAAACGTGAACTAAACCAATTTGGTATCCGGTACCGACTGCATAGCTCAGTGTATGAGGATCACGGGACGAATGAACGACTCAGGGAGACTAACAGACTCCATAGCCTGAAGACGCAGATCAGTCAATCAATCTTTCTGTTTCTCAGGGCCTTTCCTTGCATTGTATTTTTTTTTGGGGGGGGGGGGGGGGGTTTATTCCGATTTCACTTTTTTCATTTTAAATAGTGTGTAATGTTGCTGTTGGTGCATGAACAGTATCTGCAAAGTTGCAGCGCTGAAAGTTCAGTGTAAGCAGAGATATCGTCTTTTAAAAATCAGGAAGTATAATTGCCTACAAAAACGACTGGATTGGGACTACAGCTGGGTTATGGTACGTCACTAACCCACACATTTACATCAACCCTCCCTCTGAATATGCAGGAAAGGGCATGCACATATTTCTGCAGCTCGTCGAGTGTGTTGTTCACGCAGCTGTCAGGTCTTCTGTGTTCGAGCTTCCCATACTTCGTCAACAATGGATATAATTTATGTTTGATTATGTTCCTGAAAATGACGATGGTAATCTAGCTCTCTGTGCTGCACATTTACGGAAGACAGCTTCCAGAATCTCCACGAGTTCAACACCGGATTCAACAAGAAACTGTTACTAAAACATGAAGCAGATCCAACTTTAAAACCAGAGGCAGCAGTTGTTGAACACAACCTGTAAGTAGGCGAAGACTTCATCATTTTAAATGTATTTGCATGTATAATTCCAGACGTAGCCTTGTGTTTTAGTTTTTTCAAATGCCAGCGCTGGCTTTATAGCCACTATAGGCTACTAGTAATGCTATTGTGTCTACGACAAACGCGTACAAACGTTATGGACCTGAATTTTGTACTAATGTTTTAAACGTATTTTTCATGTATATATACTTTATGACATTATTTTCGATTTGATCAAGAACGTAAACTAATGCCAACGCTGTTTGTGTTTAACATTAGTTGCCAGTCAGTTGCTATTGTTGCCAGTCAGATGCTATTGTGTAAAACAAACGTGTATAAAGTTAAAAAATGTAGCAAATTATCATTCAGAAATGTTTATTAAGAGCCGTGTGTGGTGAGGTTCTGCTCGACTCTCTTCATCGCCGCTTTCTCGGTCTGATTCTGCCTCAAACTGATACTGCAGTTCGACACATATTTACATCTGGACCAGAGCTCATGACATGTACGTTTCGCCCGTAAAGGTAATGGGCGTTAACCTTCCGGACAACGTGAGCGACAGTTTAGCCAATCAGAACACACCGGCCCAAACTAACCAATCTGAGCCCACTGCCTGTTTCTGAGGGAGTGTTTTCATAGACTCAGGAAGTCAACCGCTCGTCCGAGGACAGAGGAGAGCACGGCTGACAATAAACGTGAAGTTTATGAAAAATAAGCCACGAATACATGTTATATTGCACACCATAAACACAATCACAGTCAATCCCCCCTTTAAATGCGATTAACATTTGGTGTGTTTCAGGAATTTGGCTATTAACATTAAGTACATTCTGCAAAAAGAACGAAATGACTCGAAAAAAGATTTGTTAAATTTAAGGAATGAGATTAAAATGATCCAAACTTCCCACTACTACTCCCCGATCCACCCCCCCCCCCCCACCCCCTCCTCTATTGTTTAGACTGGTGACTCTATAGAGCAGTGGACATGAGAACTAACTTTATCGCCCTCTAGTGGTCGGGAGCATTTCCAATGTTGTTTTTAAACTTATGTTTGCTTTTTAAATTTCGTTGCGTTGTGCACTGCTGGGCCACCATACTATTGTGTTGGAGAAGTGAATCAACGGTTACCAGCGTGAGGTTGGACTGTGTCGCGGGTAAGATGGGCCGGCAGAACCTTTTCTGGGACCCGACTGCTGCAGGGAACGGTGGAGAGGAGTGAAGCGCCGACACCAGGTTTATCCGGCCGATCCACGAGTTCATCTGCTCCGTAGACCTGAAGGACACCCGATAATCACTCAGATCTGACTGTTAACGCTTCACACACTTACACAGCCTCAAACACACACACACACTCACGCAGCCTCGAAGAGGAAGACTCTCCAGTCGGCCGTCTGCAGGCGAAACACGTGCGGGCGTTTGGTGTAGTTCAGGGCTCGCTCGGCCAGAGCGTGATGAACACTGACCACCTCCTCCGAGCTCTGGCAGTCCTTCCCGTAATCATCCTGGACACACACACACTGATCAACAAGCTAGCTTTCATTGCTATTAGTATTGATGCTTTGGCAAGGTTGTATAAAAAGCAGACATGCCACTAAAGCACTGCAAAACATGACGACGTGTGTCATCTGTTTGTATTGAGATATTCCGGCCGTCGTCGGTCCGGCGATTACCTTCTGCAGGTAAAGCACCATTCCCTTCAGCAAGGCGTAGAACGTCTTCCAGCTTCGCTTCCCCCACGGAGCTGCAAATCAGTTCAGTTAGTGTTAGCGAGTTTAATGTGCTGTAGGGCGGTCAAGGTGGTCAACTCATTGACTAGACAAAAACTGACTAGTTAGTTTGAGTTGTGTAGCGTTTCCAGCGGTGAAGTGTTGGACTTCTGGACGGACTGTCAGCGCTCGTGAACATGGCGCTCGAAAACTGTGTTTCTAAATACATCCACCGCCACTATAAGTTCATACTATCAAACAACATCATTTCTGTCTGGCTTCAGAGCAGTAATGCTTTTAGGATGCGTTTTTGTTTTCGAGGACTGAGAGTTTTGTGGAATAAAAGGATATAGATAATTATTCTTTATATTTGTTGAATCTCGATCATTTAAGCTACCTAAGCAACAAAGGGGGAAATTTAGTTAGACTGGCCTCCAATAGTCGACTAGAAGAGGTTTGGTCGACCAAAATGTTATTAGTTGGTTAGTCACAGAACCAAACTCCACAGGAAGAGCTAATGCGAGATGATGAGTCAGCATCGTCAACTTAATCTCTGCAGCTGAACACACAGAAAACCTTATCAATAAATTATTAATATGTTTTGACAGTCTCCCATTCATGAGCATTACGTTTGCCGGTGCCTGTGGCAAGCTTTAAAGCCCGGTACACACCAAGCCGACGGGCGGCCGTATGGCAGATTTTGTGCGTCGGCCAACTAAGTTTCCTCGGTGTGATGTGCACGGCTCCTCGTCGGCTTTGTTGCGCCCGATTCGACATGTTGAATCGGCGTCGGGCCGTTGGGGAAAGAGAGAACTCTGATTGGCTGTTCAGCTTAGTGAAGGAGTCAGTGCACGAGAACAAACGCAAAACAGCAAGCAAAGAAGTCCAAACGGTAAAGATAGAAGGCTGATCTTATGTTACGTCATCTTACCTGAGTGTTCCTTGGCGAATATTTCAATATTAACATGAGCGGAGTGGAATAAAGAAAGTGTTTACAGGACTGATATTCAAAAATATTCTGCAGAAATAGACAGTTGGCTCATTAAACGCAGGCGCAGAACGCACATTATAGCTGACAGTCGGCTGCAGTTCTCTCGGTGTGTTCAAGTGCAGCTTTTTACCCCGACGAGCGCGGACGAGAGGCGACAACACAGTCGGCTTTCATCAGCGCTAGTTCGTTGGCGTCGGCTTGGTGTGTTCCGGGCTGTAGAGTGTGTTTCCGCACTGATTAGGTATTATAAGGGCAATTAAAAGCTAAATATTATGATTTATGACTTATTAATATAAACGTGAAAATGGTTAAATAATCGCTTAAATGGACGACTACTAGTAAACTAGAAAAATATTTAGTCGAGGGCAGCTCCAGACACTAGGGACATCCAATATCCAGTGATTACTGGATTGTCCCTAGCTATAATAATGATCAAACTATTCAAATCCACTCATATGGAAACACTGTTGTTGTAATTGTGGCCGCATCTGAAATAGGTCATACCATTGACATTACCCGAGAAGTCACAGTAAATACATGTCCCCAAACAATGTCAGAATGGAAAAAAATTCGTCTGAATGCAGTCTGGTGAACGTGGAACATATATGTTGCTTAGACCATAACTGTACATGAGACTTGTCTTTATCCACACTGTGACTCACTGCGTTTGCCATCGATGTCTGCATGTGCTTTACGCTTTAAAAAGCCTTTCTGGAACACCGTGGCCTTCCTATCGTGTGGGAGATCCTGGAAGGGGTTGCTCTTGGATCGCAGGTGCCCGTCCTGCTCCAGGTCCTGCTCGGGCATCAGGGATTTAGCCAGAACCTCGTCCTCTCTGGGAACAGAGACAAAGCCGATAAAGCAGCGGATCAGAAGTCAGATCAGCATTGCTGGTTGGGTTACTCACACGGCCCACTGAAGCGGATCGCTCTTGATGGAGCTGTAGAGACTCTGAAAGAGAAAGAAGAAACCGAATCACTACTGACCACCACAGCAATGAAGCTTATACTGCAACACGTGAAGATTTGGCAAACATACCTTCAGACAGTCCTTGCTGAAATTCTCGCCTCCATTCATGCCGTCCAGATTTGACACAAATTCAGCCATGGACATGGACTTCCCGACATTCTGACGACACAAGTAAAGGATTATTCTTACAAAGATCAAGTGACATCATAAATGCACTCCTCCTTCAAGCGTTTTTGGTCTAAACGAACCCTTTTACTTTGTTAGTAACACGTGAGACTCACCACTGCACACCTCTGCTTGCTTAGTTGGGGACACTTATTACTCCTAAAACTATTGATCTTTTGCATTTACAACATAATTTGAGAACTGAACTGAGCTGGACGATGACATCACGGTTTCCTCCAGAGCGGCTGTATCGATAAATGAACTAAGGGTACGTTTACGTGACAACGATGCATCCTTAAAACGTGAACGTTTTTCCCCAGTACAGATGAAAACATTATCAAAATGATTCCCGTTCAGATGGGTTAGCGAAAACGGCTAAAAACGCTGGATTATTCATGCCAGAAAGACTACGCGCATGCGCTCATACACATTCAAACGCGTATACCTAGAGACTAAAAAAGTTAAAGACATGTTCATTCTGCCACTGATTCATGTTTTTGAAGCTTACACAGAGATGATAACAGTATCGATTTCAAAAACTTGCACTTTGAAACTTATTTAAGTTTGTGTCCTCAAACGGCCAAAATGCATTAAAAGTTTTCTGTTTTCAGTTGAAAATGGTGTCGTGTAAGCGGCCCCTAAGTTAACTAATGATTTTTACAATGGAAATAAATCAATTAAAAACATATTTGAGCTGGGCAATGGCTTTATTCTAGAGCTGCTGTACAGCCAAAACAATCTTGGTTGCATTATTTTCCTGTTATCACTGTAAAGCTGCTGTGAAACAGTCTACTGTAAAAAGCGCTATGAATGAAGGAGACGTGGCTCACCTGTCCGTGCAGGTCTGAGTTGAGCAGCATTACGGCACAGGTGAGCGTGAGCACGGATCCCCCTGAGGAGAATCCCTCAGGATTACAGTGCTGGAAACGGGAGGAGAAGCGCTGCAGGACTCTCTCGCGCTCCTGAGTCTCACCCGTCAGAACAACCACCTTCAGAAACGACCTAAGAATCAGGAAGAGCCCAAAAACACTTGAGCGAACTCTTGGCAGAGATGCATGTCCTCACTGGCAGGTTTATTGGGAATGAGAAGCCTACCGCAGGGCTTGCTCCAGAGTCTGGTTGGTAAAGTCGAAGAACTTGAGGTACTCTTCCCCAACAGCACGACTGAACTCGTTGCTATCAAAAGAACAGGCAAATGAGAAGATTTGGGTCGAAACACAGTTTCATACATTTCATCAATGTCAGGTAAAGACTTACTCTTTGTCCAGATGCCTGACCACATCTGTGCACTGAAACCCGTCCAGTCTGTAGAGCCGCTCAGCCAAGCGTCGAGCCTCGGCCCGGCTCCCCACCTCGGCACTGACGTTCATGCAGCGACCCACGGGGTTAGTATCCGGATCCTCCTCTGATGTCATACGCTGCTCTGATGTCATCTCCTCTTCCGCCGCATGTGTCTGGTCACTGGACTCTGATCCTGGCGTCTGCTGGCAGGGTTTCTGCTCATCTGGACACCGGACCCGCTCCACTGGCTCTCTCGGCTCAGACTCTTGTGCTCCTGCTGGAAGTCCGTTTTCTGGCTCAACCTTTTGCTCTGAATTTACCAGCTGTTCTCTATTTTTGGCTCGGTCTAAGCCATGAATGTCATTACTCTGGCTCATCTCTGTCGCTGTAACGGATGTGCTCATCTTGTCTGGCTCTTGTGTCAGTGTTGATTCCTCGAGGTCCACCGAGCCGTTGGTGAGGTCCGACATCGGCTCAGGTGGATCAGTGATGGTGTTCTGTGACTGATCCGACTGGACCGCTGGAGGACTGGACTCTTCCTTCTCCACAACCTCAGGTTCTTCAATCGGATCCTGAATACCGGCTCTTGCATCTACTGATTCTCCATTGGCTTCGGTCTCAGTCCACTCATGGGTGAACAGGATTCTGGGAAGGACTAACATTCCGGGTTCCTCCTGTTCTTGCGACTGTGAGCTCGCTTGAGCTGGTCCAATCTCTGAGTCTTTTGTGTCCATAAGGATCTGAGCACCATCAGAAAGATCAAAATGCTCTTCAGTCACATCTGCTCTGGAATCTGATGGAAAAAACACAGATAAATACAGATTTCAGAAGAACACTTCAGTGTTCTCTGAGTATTGTGGCTTCTTTTTCTAAAAATACACAAAAGGCCCTTCAGAACAACAGCCAGTCCAAACTCTAGGAATGTGAAGGCTGATGGCAAACTGGTGTGCATGTGACCACACTTTAAAGGTTATGCAACGAGACACTTGAAGAGGAAGCCAAATCAACTGAGTTAGCAAACAGCTCAACATTCACAGCTGACAAACACATGGCCATTTCACAACTGTCACACAAATACAACCTCACCCATTGTAAAATATGATTTAAAGCACTTCTATTATCTAAATCACATCAGCTTTAAGCATTGAGACGTTACCTGTGATATGTGCAGAAGATGTGGAGGACTCTTCATGTGAAGCTGCCATCTGTGTTTGTGAATCTGAGTTCTGTGGATCACATGCCTGTCGGGGGAAAACATCAGAACAGATTCACTTCACCCAAGCATTCAGCATCTTTGGTCAAATATAAACCAAACAATCTCTACTTTACGTTTTTCTAGGCTTAAATGGTGAGCTAAAAGAATTAACCTTTTCAAAAGCTGATCCTCTAAGGTACGAATACATTAAATCACATTCTAAAGTGCACACAAATATAAATATAGCAGGTCCCTGGTTACGAATTCGAGAACATGTCTACCAGAGAAACCACAAGGCCCTCCCGCTGCTCGGCACACACACCTGGGAAGAAGATAGTCTGTCGTCCTCTTCTGACTCGGCCTCAGCCGGCCAATCAAACACGCCGTCCTGATTTGGGATGTAATTGAGGTCTGTGGATGGCAGGTTCAAGGTCCAGTCATACGCCGGTCCGTCAGCGTAGTCCAGTTCAGGGTGGGGTCCAGGAGGCGGGGGTTCTGTGGGAGTCTCGGGAGTTTCAGGAGCGTCCCACTGCACCGTGGCATGAGAGAGAGGAGCGACCGGGTACACGGTCGGAGAGAGATCGGACACATCCAGACCCACAAGGCTGTGATCGGACACATCCAGACCCACGAGCCTGTGATCGGACACATCCAGACCCACGAGCCTGTGATCGGACACATCCAGACCCACGAGCCTTTGATCGGACTCATCCAGACCCACAGGCCTGTGATCGGACACATCTAGATCCACGAGCCTTTGATCGGACTCATCCAGACCCACGAGCCTGTGATCGGACACATCCAGACCCACGAGCCTGTGATCGGACACATCCAGACCCACAGGCCTGTGATCGGACACATCCAGACCCACAGGCCTGTGATCGGACACATCCAGAACCACGCTCTTCATAGAGATGCCCTCATCCTCCTGCTTCATTCTCTCGATGTACTGCTGGGCCTCCAGGTAAGGCTCAGATTCCTGATAGTCTAGTATATTCTCCATTGTCATCTCATTTAGATGGTCATGATGAGGAGTTCAGGAAGGGCTTGTGTTCAGTCTTTGTCCTCAGTGATGAACAGGGCGTCCATTTTGAGATCGACGTTTAGAAACACTGTTTCCTCCCACGCAGAACAAAATTGTCAACCAACAAGCTCCATGCAAGAGACTGAAAGAGATTTCAGAAAACAAATGACATCTATATCATCACGAGCATTCATTCCATACAACATGAGATCAAACATTTGAGATTTGAGAATGAAAACGCTCATTTCAGTCTATGGTGCATCCGTAGAGATTTCATTAGCCGTCATATCCGTGCCGCTCTGACGCCACAAAACCACCACAACCTACAGCCGTGTGTTTGAGGACGCTGAATCGCTCATTTCTGCTATTTTAATGGGAGGTCTGCAGACCAGCTGCTTGAGTTCAGCATTTACACAAAAGAAAACATAAACGGCACATTGCAATGAACATCTGTAAGATGTAGGACAGGTTTATTTCCTTATAATGAATTTTTCATCATTTATGTCTAAACGAAAGGACCAGAGTAAATGTTTGCAGTATTGAAAATAGTCTGTGAAAACCAACCACAGAAATGAGCAATGAATTCACTTTACATGTCATTCATGAAATCCGCATGTCTGGTTTGCATGTTCGCTTTGCCCTCACGAGCAGCACACGATCAATGAGGTGATTTATAATATCTGAAGTGATGATGGTTTCAGAGAAGTGTAGAGAATGAAGCTCACCTTAGCCGTGTCCTTCAGTAAAGCCCACCGAACTCTTCTACGAGACGCACAGGGCGGATGTGCTCTGCTGTGAGTTTGCTCAAGAAGCACTGAGACACATTTACACTTCCTGACCACAAACAACTTCCACTGACAGAGAGAGAGAGAGAGAGAGAGAGAGAGAGAGAGAGAGAGAACAGAGAGAGTGTGTTTATGTGTGTGTGTGTGTGTGTGTGTGTGTGTTTAGTGTGAGATTAAGGCAGACACTTTTAAACGGAAAACACTCAACTGTTTTCTTGCAGTTCAGAATGACTATAATCATCATGTTGATCATGAGCACTCGAACCCTGACAGACTGATGAAACACGGACTGACCCTGATAGAGAGAGATCAGCGCATCACTTCCTGCTGCTCCTCACATCACCTCACACTTCCTGTGCGGTAGATCAAGAATATATGACAATGCCAGATTATCATGTTTCTTCCAATGACATACACTGAGTTGTTATTACACAGTTTAATCTTCATATCTGATCATCTGTGAAGGCCAGACTGTTTAAACAACAACACTTAAAACACTATATTCACAAGTTAGAAACGCACAGTTAGTTAGATAAGTCGAGTCACCTTCATTTATTTAGAGCTTTTACAAGCACAGAGTTTCACAGCAGTTTTACAGAGATAACAGGAGATTACACACACAGAGAGTGTTTAGGCTTGACAGCAGATCTAGAATAAAGTTATTGTCCAGATAAAGTTAGTTTTGATTTGACTTCCGTTATAAAGATCATTAGTTATTAGCTTAGCGGCCGTTAGCACGACACCGCTCTAACAGAACATCCTTAATGCGATCCGGCCGCAGAGTGTGTCTATTTAAATAGGAAAAATAGGAAAAGGATCTCCCGCCTGCAGTCGAGTTAGATATTCTCGGTATTATCAACGGGCCGAGTTTCAAGATCACAATAGACGTGAAGGACTATAATGCGTTAAGAGCTAGAGAGTAATCAGCAATATTTTAAAATGTATACGATGTATAATAGGCAGCCAATGCAGGGTTGACAGAACCGGGCTAATATGGTCAATCTTCCTGGTTCTGGTCAGATCTGAGCGGCTGCGTTTTGGACTCGCTGGAGTTTGTTTATTAAGCGTTCAGGACAAACACCCAGTAGAGCATTACAGTCATCTAGCCTTGAGCTCATGAACACATCAACTAACTGTCCCGCATTCGTCAGTGAGAGCATATGGAGTAAATTAGAGATATTGTTAAGATGGAAGAATTCGGTTTTATAAATAGACACGTGACTTTCAAATGAGAGATTGGTATCAAAACACACACACACACACACACACACACAGGTTCCTAACCGACGACGAGGACTTGACAGAGCAGCCATTAGACAGTGTTAGACAGTATTCTGGGTTATTACATGAGGATGTTTTTTAGCCAATAATAAGAATCTTTTTTTTTTTTTTTCCAGAATTTAGTCGTAGGAAATTACTAATCATGCAGTTTTCTATTTCAGCTCTGCCTTCTGTTAATTTTGTGAATTGGTAACTTTCATCAGGGCGTGAAGAAATATAGAGCTGAGTATCATTAGCATAACAGTGAAACTAATGCCACACTTCCTAATGATATCTCAGTCCCAACGGTAGTGTGTGTGTGTGTGTGTGTGTGTGTGTGTGTGTGTGTGTGTGTGTGTGTGTGTGTGTGTGTGTGTGTGTGTGTGAGTGAACAGCAGCGGTCCTAGTACTGAGCCTTGTGGTACGCCATACTGAACTTGTGACATCTCTTCATTTACTGCTACACACTGGTAATGGTCAGATGAGTGATTTACATCATGCTAATGCAGTTCCACAAACGCCAACATGACGTTTGAGTCTATTTAAAAGAACGTTGTGGTCAATAGTATCAAATGCAGAACTAAGATTGAGTAACACTAATAGAGAGATACAACTACGATCGGATGAACAGAGCTGTAACACGGTTCAGGGAAGAAGGAGGCAGGAACCGGATAATAATAATAAAATAAAACTTTATTTAAATAAAATAAACAAACAAATTACCTGCCAGCAGCCCCTCGCGGACGACTGCTGGCTACCCAAAATAGAAAAAACATAAATACCGGCCAGCAGCCCCTCACGGACGACTGCTGGCTTACCAAATAAAATATAAAATACAAATAAAAGCAGGCCTGTTCCTCTCTCGATCATCCACTCCGTCGCTCCCCCTTTATGGCTCCGCTCCTTCGTGAGAGATGCGAGACCGGTGTGCTTCGCAGGTGCTGCTCATTAGCAATCGCAACACCGGCCTCGCGACTTTCTCTCACGTCCCTCGGCCGTCCTGCTCACCACAAGAGCAAATCATATGTGACTGATGAGAGCTGTCTCGGTACTGGTACTGTCTAAATCCGGACTGGAAATCCTCCATTTCTTTCTTAAAAGGATCAAAGTTGTGAGGATACTGCTTTTTCTGGTGAAAAGGCAGATTCGAGATCGGCCTGTAATTGATTCATTCTGGAGGATCAAGTTGCGTTTTTTTTTAACAAACGGTTTAATCATAGCCAGCTTAAAAGTCTTTAGTACGTATCCTAGTGACAAAGATGAATTACTGATATTGAGAATTTTTCCTCAGGGAAACTACAATGCACTCCCTGACGCGATTCTGTAATAGACGGTTGCAGAGTAGGCTAAAGAAGACAAAGATCTTGTAAGTAAAGAAGTTTATAGAGTCATTACTGCTGTGCTGCTTAGGGTTAAAGATTTATTTCTCGTTAATTTAAGTCAAGTCACATTTATTTATATAGCGCTTTTCACAATACAAATTGTATCAAAGCAGCTTCACAGTGATAACATGAAAGTAGTACAACACAGATCAATAATATTGTTAAATATTAAATAACCCCAACTGAGCAAGCCAAAAGCAAGGCGACCAGTTCTCCTCTGGCTTACATTCATATTGTTTGTAGGCTATATAAATATTAAATATAAATATTGTTTATATATAAAACGGCTCTATAACATATCGCTGGCGTTGAGTCGTCTCTTCACAGGCATTGGGGCATCCGAAATCCCCGTGAGGCTGGACACAAAACTGGACCTGACGAACGCCATTTTTCTCAGGACAAGCGTCCCGAGATAACAGCATAGGTTAGGAAAGGCAGATGGGAAATAATTAGCATAGCATGATGTTCATAATGATTTCCATTATACGGGAGTCGGTGTTAGAAACCACTATCTCACAAACTCTCCGTAACCCAACCCGTGCCGACCCGTTTGACTAAAAGGCTGTCGAGCCCCCAATAAGGTATTTATTGTATAAGAGATAATAAGTACAATAAGGTATTTATTGTATAAGAGATAATAAGTACAATAAGGTATTTATTGTAACAATTTAGTCATTGGTACAATAAATACCTTATTTTCTTCTAATAGTGTTGAAACATAAGCAGATCTAGCAGCTTTTCTGTGTGCGATCGCGCTCTCCTTTCATGAGATTCGAAATACCTCTAGTTTAGTTTTCTTCAGCTACACTCCATGTTTCTGGCTGTCCTCTTAAGGGCCTGAGTGTGTGTGTGTGTGTGTGTGTGTGTGTGTAATGGAGGTCACAGCACCCGGAAAAGAGTTTCACTGCTTTTTACTGTCAGTACACCATAATTATACCAATGAACTAAATGCATTTATTTCCATTCAAATGGAAACCTATGGAAAAGGATTGGACTTAAACGATTATTTATGCTGTGGCTTCCTCTAGTGGGCAACATTAATATCACAGCTTAAACCCTTAATTATTAGACAGTCCTTATGAATCCAGTAAAACATGTTCGGACCATGGAACATTTATGTGATGTGGTGGGGAAAAAATAGTACAACTACAGTACAGTATAAATTGCACGAAATATAAGTGTAATATAAGGTCGGATGTAATAGTTTAATATACAGTATGGCAGTTTAATTCTATTGCATATTATTATTATTATTATTATTAGCCTTAATATATAATTGAGTAGGATATTAACTATGAGTATGATATAAAATATAATAACTGAATAAAATACAAGAATACAAGACACTTGTGAAGTTTGAGGTCCATCAGACTAACGGTTCGAGAGATATGAGATTAACAGACAGAAAGGCAGACAGACAGACGTTCCTGCAATTTATAGATAGATGAGTGGGTTCAATCCTCTGATCACTGCACTGATGACTGATGCTGCGTTCATGTGCTATGCAATTATGGTAAAAACCAAAAGCCGACGTGGAAAATGTAGCCTACATGAACACCCCCCTCATGTGGTATTTCCACTGGGCAACTCGTAGAATATTTTGATGGACGAGTTGACGAGATGAGATAACCTTTGAACTTTTCAAAATGGCAAGAGTTGTGAATGGTAATATATACTATTATACTATTCTATATATACTATATATACTATTCATGATCTAGAAAATATACAGCATATTATTTACCTTTTGAGTTTTGATAAATCATTTTCTTGCTGTTGCAGATGACTTAAGCAATCCAAAATAGTTTTAGCTAAATAACAGGTCTGGATCTCCATCTTTTTACCACATTACGACAACAAAAGCACTTGAACTCAACACACTGGTAAATTCCTATACTATTTTCCATAGCACGTGAACGCAGCATCACTTTCCATTTACATTAGTTCATGTAAATTATAATATAGGCCTAAGCTCAGTCTGTGCTTAAACTTTATAAGAATCAAGCAAACATTAAATTATCGCTTATAATGTCTTATTTTTCATAACTAAATAGCCATTAATAGTTTGACTTTGTTGGCCAACTGGCTGTCAAAATAGTAAGCCAACTTTTTTTCACTCCAGAGTTACGGCAAGTTGCCCGGACAAATATGGCGGCGCCGTATGGATCCAACGCATACATCCAACGGCGGTGAGTTCGGGTGTAGTTCTCTTCCAGTCCTGAGGGGGCAGGAGTGACTTTGGTGGCGCTCGCTGCGGTTCTCCGGTCACTGCAGCAGCTGCTCAGTGTGTTTGTTGAAATGGCGAAGTTTGGCGATTTAAAAGCTTTTCTTGAATCTTCATTAAATGAAATCTTTCGAGTGACTGTCAGTGACATCGTGGATTCAGTGGAACAAACTGTCAGCGAATATCAGCATAAGATTCAGAGAATTGAGTGCGAAAATGATGATCTGAGAAAACGACTTTGTGCAAAAGAGAAAAGGACGAATCATATCAAAACAGGTGCGTGAAACTCGAAAGATGATATCCGATGAAATATTATATATAAACTGCAGTGTTGTTTGGCTTATGAGTAAAAATGATTATGCTGTTTATTAAAACCGTGTAGCTACTTGTATTCCTTCAATGATTATTTTCATAAACGCATCTGATGTAAATAATAACATACGTCAAGAGAGTGAAATGTTAATTTCTAAAAGCAAATTAATTTAGTCAAACATTATAAAGTTGAAATTAGCTTTCCGAGGTCTGTCAGTCGCTATGGGAACAGTCGGTGTGTCTTCCGCTTTTGCAGTACCTGTATATATTTCTGTGGGATCACTGTCGAGGAGTAATTAGCTTGTGAAGTGAATTTAGTTATTTTAAAGTTAACGAAAGTTATTATGAGCATCGTGCTTCACCGTTCATTCATAAATAGATAAGATCGTAGTGAAAATACAAACCGGAAAACAAAAGACAACGAGCACCTGAAAAGGGGCGGGGCTACAGAAGGTCTATTCCATCACGTCAAGTCAGTCTGTTGCATGGTTACAACATTAAACCAGGAATGCCGTCACTACCGAGAAATATCCTGGTTGGTATCCGATTGGACTTGAATCTTAATGAGCAATTTCAAGACGCTGACGTTAAAGTCCATCTTGTCTCAATCTGAAACAGAGATTGGTTGGTGACCATCGGTCTGAGGCGGGGTACTTCCACATCGTCAAGTAGGTTTGCTTTTGGAACAAAGATTACCAGTACGGCATTCTCCCGTCCGCACTGGCTCTGGCTCCTTGGACTTTCACAGAGTGTATGGATGCGACTCAGGCCCGTTTGGGGATCCAGTGTGTCCGAATTTTTGAATTGCCTCTATTGGCTGATATTAGCTCAATCCCAGGGTTCAGCAGGAGCTCATTGAGGTTTCATCCTCAATCAATTAGGACCATGCATTCATAGCTCATAAGAGTGTTGCTACCAAGTTAGCATACAACTTTGTAGGCATAGTCTCCAGAAAGCATTCAGTCATTCAGTGCTATCCAGTTCGGAACGGGACATGTAGTCCACGTAGGTGTGCCGCAGACTGATGGGTCTTATGGCAGCAGCATCCCCTGTGGTTCTGTTGGGCTGCTCCACTTGAGACCATTTCAGTGGTGGATCAAGATCTGAGCGATCTCTCCTCACTACCACCCTCTGCATGTGATTAAGCGCAGAGCTAAAGGGCGTTTTGGCGTCGGACAATGATCACGACACACCTCTCTCCGGCTGGGAAGCAGTCTATAGCGCTGCCCGCCCTTTGGAGTTGAAAAGAGGCATCGTGGCTGGCACATAAACTGTTTGGAGATGCTGGCAGTGTTTCTGGCACTAAGAAGGTTCTTGCCCTATTTAAGGGATTTTCAAACACTGGTCAGGATGGTCAACATGACTTCATCTTCATCATCGGTTCAGCTAAGCGGTAGTGGATTTTTTGCTTTGAGCATGTCTACGCATTGCCCGCTCTGGTTCTCCCTGTCGCCTCTGGTACCCCTTTTCCAGCAGCACGAACCGGGTGCTATTTCAGAGCCGGAGCCGGTTCGACTGACAAGTCTTCTACGAACCATTGTGCCTTTCCACAGAGCCAGGTCTTACGTCACTGCATACATCTCATGTTTCCCAGCAATGCTAGTGTGGTAGAGCCAAACACAAACACACATTCACATGTCACCTTGATGTCGTTCACAAGTTTCTGTTCGTCTTGTTTGCCACGGTAACCCCGGTTGGTCCGAATACTATTATTTTGTGTTTCGAAGCTTCGGTAGTCATCGACACCAAGTATTAGAAGCTACGGAGGGAAATAAAAAATATTTATTAATTATAATTAAAGCTACACTGTGTGATTTTTACCCCCATCTAGCGGTGTAAAGATATATGACCATCCAGTGAATATTAGTTTCTGTTCCTCTCAATTCCGATTTCGTTTTAACACCTACAGTGGCCAATGTAGTCCAAGATTAACATGGCTTCCAGTTCGACCTCGTCCATGAGTGTTAACTGAAACATAAACGCGAAAGGCGAAGCTTGAATTAACGGGTATGTCCCTCTTTGGCTAATGTACTTTCAAGATGGAGGGTCAACATGGCGACCTCTTACCCGTATGTATTTTCAATGGCATATTATACACTCACGAGAATACTTTATTACTCGAACGAAGTAAAGATACATTAATGAGCACAGATATTTTTGAAAGAACTAAGTGTTTTTAGCTAAGAATAAACTAAAAGAGTTACACAGTGTAGCTTTAAGAATTGCATGTTTAAGTAAAAGTTAGGCTACCTGTCCTACAGTGTTATTTTCTTCTTTACCACAATAAAGAATGCGAACCAAATGAAGAAACATTTATAAAATGTTAAGGAAAAGAAAAGAGATTCCATGTCCAGTGGAATAACTAATGAAATAAATTCGCTGATAATCGGGAGACCAGATCGCAAACCAGAATACAAAGCTTAAATTTATGGGCTCACGCACAACTGTCATTCGTCATGTTTCCAAATGTTTCCATGGCTGCGATGTAACATTTAAATGCTAACCTATTGTTTTGTTTTGTAAACAAAGCTTTGTGCTTCACTCGTGTCATAATATTAATGTAAAACAGTTAAACAGCATTCATATACAAAAAAATTTTTTTTCCTATGAAAATAGAATAATAGAAACAAAATGTATTAGCCTTTTTACTCGTTATTTAGGGGTGTACCGGTAAACTTGACAAAACGCACCACCGCGACTGAGTAGCACCGGCGTTTATTTTTGTGGACCACCGCCGGTGCTACTCCGTCGCGGTGGTGCATTTTGTCAAGTTTACCGGCACACCCCTAAATAACGAGTGAAAAGGCTAATTTTGTTTCTATTATTCTATTTTCATTCCATTTTCCAGAATGTTAAAGCAGCGCAGCTTAAAGAGCAACATGCAGGTTGAACAACCCTATATAGCATAGTGTATGTTGATGAAAAAACAACTAGATTTTCTGAACTGATATTTAGCCATCAACAATATTTTGAGAAAAATTGTGGTAAAATAACTCCTGTGTCTATAAAGCACTAACCGGAAGTGACGATCGGCCAGGGAGTCTGTTCAAGTTCAAGCTCAGGTTACAATGGATGCGAACGACGAAAACCGAGTTCTCCGATGTTGACGAATATGCCTATGATGGCCCACGGGCCTATAATTATGAGCCTCCGAGGCGAGGTAGATGCCAGGGGCAGATTGGGGGAGGAATAATGGGCAGAGGAGAGAAGCAACGTTAGAGTTGTGGTGTCAAGAAAACCAGTGGCGAATAGGGCAAGTGACTTGGTGAGTTCATAGCACCGTGGCTAACGCTGGTTCATCTACTGTATGGCTTGTACCTTGGTGTTTTGTAATAAATCTGCTTTAGCAAATATACGTTCGACTTTTGTCCTTGATTAAACATCCATTTAGATTGTCTTAATTTAAGACAGCAGCGTTTTGTCTTCTCATATTCTACGCTGACAGTGATTATGCAGTCCATTCAAGCTGGTTAGCACTATCTACGGCTCGCTCGGTACGGTTCGGCTCGCTCGGTTCGGCTCGCTCGGTACTGTTCGGCTCGCTCGGTATGGTTTGGCTCGCTCGGTACGGTACGGCTCGCTCGGTACGGTATTTCAATTTTATACGGTAAAATTTAAAATTGAATACCAACCCACCGAACGAATATTCGGGTCCAGTCCTACTGTTTCTTGTGGCCCCATTCCTTTGTCGTAGAAATCTGATGAAATGGCGTGTATCACACTGATATGAAACATAAATGACGTTCCCCTAGCGACGGTGTTCCGTATTCAGGGAACCAAGGTTACGTAACTGCGAGTTTATCATTTAGAGTTAAAGGTGCCATCTGTAAAAATTGAGGTTAAAATATCCCAAAAATGAGCAACACGCATCAAAAGATTGAGAAGAAATAAGGTTGATGATGTCATTAAAAAACTGACAAGGTATAGTGCTGCCGAGATATTAACCTGAATTAGCATGCTAAATTACTAGCCCCGGCCCGGCAGGTGTCGTAATACCAGTTCCGGCCATGGGAGGCGGTATGCGGCCGGGCAACATTACCACCAGCCAAACTGCAATAGACGAGTAAGTCGCGCTCGCGCCAGCTTGTGTGTACTTGAACCTGACGTCAGTCGTGTGGAAAATACAGCCAATTACTACATTTCAGTTCAGGGAAGAGTTTAAAAAAAATGATTGGTCGATATTATGCATGAGGAATACATTTTGGTAAGTTGTAGCATACTGTATCTTTCAACAGTGTTCGTGTTCTTTTACCATTAGCTAGTAGAGATGATCGGTTCACGTGTGTTAGGGATCTGTCGTGTAAAGCGCCAATACTGTATTTATTGTTTGAATTGCGTAATAAAATGAACAGAATCTGAGAGCTGACATCGGTCTCCGTGTCCTTTTCTGTGCATGACAAAATTGATGTGTGGCGTGAGAGTGTGTGAAAAGTGTTGTGAGAGTTGGCAGCTCTGAAAGACGCTAGCTTGGTCCACATCAGGGAATGCTGTCTGTCAAATTAATTCAAACTAATGATAAAAATGTAATATGAACAAATCGAATATCATAAAACTAGAAATAACAGCCTGGGCTTTAATTTTCCCATATCGTCGAAATGCACCGACTTGTCTATGAGACGGCCCTTATAATTTAGTGTTGAGATGTTGTTCATTAAGTCTCTAATCTCTGAAAATCTCCAAATGCTCCACGTGAAACTGCGGTCTTCCAACCTTTTACTATCGCGTCAATTGATTTGATTAATATGCACGAGGGAGACAGAGCAACACAGCACTCGCCCATATTGTTTGAAGACATGAGAGAGCGCGTGGCCGTGGAGGTATTTCTGGAGGTATACTGCCCCCATCTGGTATGGAACATGTTGTATGATTTGATTTTAAATCCCATTTGGCACCTTTAAACATTTGGCCATGGTTTTATATAAACTTAAACTGCAACAGTTTAACTCTTTGGAGATTAGCATGTTTTTGTTTGTTCCTTGTGATTATTTTGTAAGCCAGTAACAAGATGTTTTTTGTGTGTTTGTTTTGCAGAAGATGAAGATTGTGTTTTTCAGCTTGACTTTTCAAGGAAGGATTTCAGCGAAGATGTGTTTTCATCTGTTCACATGAGTGAATATACTGACCAAACTAAGATCGCTGGAGATTCACTGAGCAGTCGAATGAAATCACAAGCGCCAGATGTGAAATCACCGCAGATAAACAAGAATTGTGCGACAGCAGCAATTCTGTGTGTGAAGGTCGACCCAGAGACGGAGGACGGATGTGCTGTTGACCTCTCCAACCCTCACACTTCTCCTGAACACACCGGTCAAGAGATCAAGATGGAGAATACAGAGGAGAACTGTGATCGCAGGCATGTATTCACTCGTCCATTAGAGCCGGAGCTCAGCGACTGCGATGTGAAGGTGACGGTGGTGTCCGACACACACCTGTATCCTGATGGTCCGGAGTCGTCAGAGCCGGAGCTCAGCCTCATCTCTGATGAAGAGTCTAATCCAGACGGACTGTCTGACGAGGGATTTTCGGGATCGTTTCACGTGACGGAGTCTCTGCCGGTCCCTAAGCCGGATCTCTGCTGCGCTCAGTGTAACCGGAGCTTCAAGCACGAGGCGTCACTCCACATCCACCTGAGATCCCACACCGCAGAAAAGACACACACCTGCGCTCAGTGTGGGAAGGGCTTTGACCGCGCTGACCTCCTGAAGAACCACCAGCGCACACACACCGGAGAGAGGCCGTTCGCCTGTGAGCTGTGTGGGAAGAGCTACGGGCACCAGGGTCAGCTGACCATCCACCGGCGGGTCCACACGGGCGAGCGGCCCTACGCCTGTCCTCACTGCGGTAAACGCTTCAGCGAACACAACCAGCTGAAGGTGCACCTGCGCACACACACCGGCGAGAGGCCGTTCCCCTGCTCCGTTTGCGGCAAACGCTTCGCCAACGCCGGGAACCTGCGCAGCCACCAGCGCACACACACAGGGGAGAAGCCGTACGCCTGCGAGCTGTGCGGGAAGCGGTTCAGCGGGACCGGAGACCTGAAGACTCACACCCGGATCCACACCGGAGAGAAGCCGTACCGCTGCCAGCTGTGCAGCAAGAGCTTCAGCCAGGCCGGACACTTGACCATCCACCGGCGCATGCACACGGGCGAGAGGCCGTACCCCTGCGGAGACTGTGGGAAGAGCTTCACTGTGGCCAGCAGCCTGAAGCTGCACCAGCTCGTGCACACCGGCGAGAAGCGGCACGCCTGCGGTCACTGCGGGAGGAGCTTCAGCCGCGCCGGACACCTGAAGCGACACCAGCTGACCCACAGCAGAGAGAACCAGCACACCTGATCCACACCGTGGAGCGACACACCTGCGGTCACTGCAGGAAGGGCTGGACACCTGAAGCGACATGCGTTCGTACACACCAAACAATATCTACAGAGCAACCACTTGTCCCTGAAGAAGCACCAGAAGCTGCACACGCTGGCTGAGAGCGACAGAGCCCCTAATTAAGGGACTGAGCCTCGGAGTAACTGGATCGAGCCGCAGAGAAACGGGTCCGAGTCGTGGAGTAACTGGATCGAGCCTCGGAGTAACTGGATCGAGCCTCGGAGTAACGGGATCAAGCCGCGGAGTAACGGGATCAAGCCGCGGAGTAACGGGATCAAGCCGCGGAGTAACTGGATCAAGCCGCGGAGTAACTGGATCGAGCCTCGGAGTAACTGGATCGAGCCTCGGAGTAACGGGATCAAGCCCGCGGAGTAACGGGATCAAGCCGCGGAGTAACTGGATCAAGCCGCGGAGTAACTGGATCGAGCCTCGGAGTAACGGGATCAAGCCTCGGAGTAACTGGATCGAGCCTCGGAGTAACTGGATCGAGCCTCGGAGTAACTGGATCGAGCCTCGGAGTAACGGGATCAAGCCGCGGAGTAACTGGATCGAGCCTCGGCGTAACTAGATCGAGCCTCGGAGTAATGGGATCAAGCCTCGGAGTAACTGGATCGAGCCTCGGAGTAACGGGATCAAGCCTCGGAGTAACTGGATTGAGCCTCGGAGTAACGGGATCAAGCCGCGGAGTAACTGGATCAAGCCGCGGAGTAACTGGATCGAGCCTCGGCGTAACTAGATCGAGCCGCGGAGTAACGGGATCAAGCCGCGGAGTAACTGGATCGAGCCTCGGAGTAACTGGATCGAGCCTCGGAGTAACGGGATCCAGCCTCGGAGTAACGGGATCAAGCCTCGGAGTAACTGGATCGAGCCTCGGCGTAACTAGATCGAGCCTCGGAGTAACTGGATCGAGCCTCGGAGTAACTGGATCGAGCCTCGGAGTAACTGGATCGAGCCTCGGAGTAACTGGATCGAGCCTCGGAGTAACTGGATCGAGCCTCGGCGTAACTAGATCGAGCCGCGGAGTAACGGGATCAAGCCGCGGAGTAACTGGATCGAGCCTCGGAGTAACTGGATCGAGCCTCGGAGTAACTGGATCGAGCCTCGGAGTAACGGGATCCAGCCTCGGAGTAACGGGATCAAGCCTCGGAGTAACTGGATCGAGCCTCGGCGTAACTAGATCGAGCCTCGGAGTAACTGGATCGAGCCTCGGAGTAACTGGATCGAGCCTCGGAGTAACTGGATCGAGCCTCGGAGTAACTGGATCGAGCCTCGGAGTAACTGGATCGAGCCTCGGAGTAACTGGATCGAGCCTCGGAGTAACGGGTCTGAGCTGTGGAGTAATGGGATGTAATGGGAGTAATGGGTCCTTCAATGATGATGTTCATCTCTAATAGCAAGACACAGTTGGATCATGTCACTTCTACGAGATATGGCACACATACTGTACTGATGTTTACGTAAGCCCTGAACCGCAATGTAAAAAAAAAAAAGTACAATTTTGAGAATAAAGTGGGTTAAAAACCTCTTATAAAGACTGTATTTTTTTATATTTCGACCTTATTTAAATATTTCGACTTTAATTACATAATTTCAGGCTTTTTTTGCACTGATTTTTATTTATTTTACTTTTCGATGCAGGTTATCCCTAGATGTTTGAGTCTTTATTGGTTTGGCGGAGTGTCTTCTGTCTGTGACTGTGTGAATTATTCATTAGAAATGATTGCTGTCTTCCTCCATGACCTGGTTTGTTACATATGAAGAAGGTATGATATAAACACATCTTAGATGAAATGCAATTTAATTTATGAATATTACATAATATCTTCTCTATGTACAGCATTGTGCATTTAATGTTTATTTAAAATATTCGTGAATGTTTACTCTTTAGCTTCAGCAATAAAATAAAGCTTTCTAAATAGTTGTTGCGTGTTGTTTGGATGTTAGATTGATTATATTTTGAGCTGATGGTCGTCACTGAGACTGTTTTAAGCGCCTGTAGCGGTCTCTAGCGGCCACTCGTGGAACAGCAGCGCCAGTTCATCATCACTACAATGGAGCCAGTTTGGTCACTACACTGTTAACATTTTAAAACAAAATCAAAGTCTTGTTTTTAGCAATGATTATTTTCAAATAATATGTATGATTTATGGGATTACTATACCTACTGTCCAACTTTTCAACTCTCACTTGCACTCATATAGCAAGATGTTTTCTTTGAGTTTTCCTCCTTTTTTTCTGTAAATCTGGAGAATTCAAGAATTCTGCAATTAATTATATAAAAAGAAAAGTAAATCACTCGCACACATACTGCATACATAATTTTACATTAATATAGAATGTATTTGTTTATATATATATATAATTTGTGAATGTATGTTACATCCTAAGAAAGATTAATATTCATTTATTTTAGATGCAACTCCAAACGTTCTTGGCAGCAGATCAGGACAAAATATACAAATAAAATTCAAAGTGGTGAGTATTAACCACAATTATCTTTACAACTGCTATGCTTTACATTGGACTATTTTATTAATTATGGTGAAGCAAACGATGAAGCCACTGATCTGAGACCCTGGGCTTGTTATTATGGCACATGTTTGAATATGGGATAAAAGAGAGAGGACTCGTATCTCTTAGGCCTCGACCTCGATGGAAGAAATGTGAACGAGGTGTTGATTTAAACCCTGACACAAGTCACAGTCAGTCCTGTGTTTGTAGGAAGTCATGCCACTTTTTGAGATTTGATGAGCCTCTAAAAGCTTGTAATGATCATGTTTGTGGTGGACAGACTCGGCCAGGGCCTGAACCGCAGTGCACAGCTGAGGAGAAAACTAATGAAACGCTTTAAACTGAGGCCAAACAGATCTCGGTATGTGAACTCATTTAACCAAGTAACACTTTAGTATGAACACTATGCATATTTATTAATGTTCTTATTAACATGTTCAGAATAACTTTCTCTTGCTCGTTCTCCCTCCCTTGCCACAAAACCAATTACAATATGAGAGCTGCAGTTTCCATGTGTGTTTATGAAGTGTAATACAGCATGCTTTCAGTGGGAGAAGCTGGTTAGTGGTTCTCGCTGCTTTCGGACAGCGGCAGTATTGAGAAGAATCGCACATCTATCTGTGATCCCGCAACCGTGCCTGCAAGAGGCCAAAGGTCATCTGTCATCATCGCGACCCTTCCAGGACGGGGTTCATCATAACCTGTCTCTAACCCGTCGTAGAACATGAGACGGGGAAATTGTGTAGGTTTAGGCGTCACAGTTACATACACTTTAAGAGGTATTGTACCAAACTGAACTTGCCCTCCTCAAAGTGCTGACACACACACACACACACAGAAGATGTGTGGTGTGCATCATGATCATGTGGCATCCAGTGATTTTAAGAACAAGCTTCAATAAAATAAGAGTTTTGTATAAAGAAAATGTAAAGAAGAAAATATCTTTGTATTTCTATTCATTTTTTGAAAACAGAATGGATGAGAAAACCTATTTCAGTGATATAGTGACGATGGCGTTTGGTACTGGGTTATAAAGAAATGTTTACAAGTTTAGTTTTCTCTGTGCTTTTTAAAAAATATGCGGGAAATTTGACTGGCTTTATTGATATTCAAAAACTTCTCCAGCAAAACTCAAACTATCGTTTCTGTTGTTTCAGCCAATAACGTTGAAGCAACTCTCCCTTTAGCCAATGAGCGTGTCGCCAGCGTGCAGGGCGGAGCCTCAGAGACTCGTGCTGAGAGAGAAAGAGAGAGAGAGAGACGGAAGAGAAAATCACTCAAACTGCCGATAGGAAAGAGCAGTTATTAGCAGAGTCGCTGTCCTGTCAATAAAACAAGTCAATGGCTTTAATACAAACAGATCCGAACCGCCAAGGGAACGGACTAACCAACGCTCTTCAAGGTGGCGTGAGAAAAGCCTGTCCCGTGTATAACCCCGCGAACGCGCAGCCGAGGGACCCGGAGCTCAGCACACACGGGCTCCCGAAAGCGTTCCTTCACAGTCTGAGAACCCTATTCGACATCCTCGACGACGGAGGCCGGGGGTACATCCAGCTGTCGGAGATCGAGAGCCGGTGGCGCGGAGCGGAGGAGCGCGATGTCCCCGCGGGGGTCCTGGAGGGTCTGAGGCGGGTCGCGTCGCGGCACGGACGCCTGAGCTTCGAGCGCTTCGTCGCGGGACTTCGATACTCGATGTTCAACCCCGAAAACTGCAGCAAAACTCAGGCTAACAACCCCCGTCAGCAGCAGAACCCGCCGGAGAGATCCAGAACCGGGACCGGGCGGCTGCTGGAGTGCAGAGTTCGGCCGCTCGGACCGAGTAACGGAACAAACACAGTCCACAGTCGGAACAGACCCGACAAACACAGCTATTGTTCCCGTTACTCGGTCAGATCCGATCCGGCCCACACCGAACATCACGGCCGACCCACGGAACCCGCTTCGGGAGCTCCCGATGGACTAACGTTAAACACAGGTGAGAGATGATTGACATCAGTTCACTTTCGGTGCATGTGTCAGAGGGTGATGACAGGTAAAGATGGTGTGTGTAGGTGTGTGTCCTTTCAATCCTTCACAATGGCAGGAGTGTTTGGCATGTTTAATGACGAACTCCAAGCGGAACTGTTCAAACACCACACACACACACACACACACACACACACACACACACACACACACACACACACACACACACACATTAGTGCAAAACAACGCGATTTTTTGTTACCTTGTATTTCTCCATTTTTCAAATGTATTATATCTGCAGTCTGCTCTTAATGCACAGAAATCTGCGGCAAACTAGATTATTTTGTGACAAAAAGCTCTCATTTAAATGAAGAAACTATAGTGGAACTGGAATATGTGATGATGAAGATGGTGATTATGAATGATGAAGATTGTGAAGATGAATGAGGATGAAGATGGTTATGATGAATGATGAGGATGGTGATGGTGAAGATGAATGATGATGGTTAGTTATGATGAGGATGGTGATGAATGATGAAGAGGATGAATGATGAGGATGATGGTGATGACGATGAATGATGATGAAGATGCCTGGTGTTGGTGAAGATGAATGATGAGGATGATGATGGTGATGAAGAGGAGCTCAAGACTGAATGTGGGATGTGAAGGGCAGGGAAGCTGCATCTGTTCCTGGGAAACACACTCTGATCTTTCCCGGATCAGGATCTAATCCGGAAACTGAAGCTTTCTCTAATAAAGTAAATCTTTCATGGGATTTCTGCTGTAATAAGAAACAATGTATGCTATATTAAGCCATTCAAGTCTTAATACCCGGGTTTACTTTAAATAAATACTGGTGACGATAGTTTAGTTTATTTTAATATTATTTTAATATGTATTAAAGACTACATTTCACTAGATTGTAATTTTCACATCTTATAATCGTCTTAATATACCAGTGAACGTTTGTCGTGTCGAGCCTTTAAAGCATTTCAATCCTCTTAGAATCTGAACCTCGTTCGATGGGACCACCGTTCCCTCTGGGAGCTGAACTGTAATACACTCACCTAATGGATTATTGGGAACAATTTCTCATTGATGCAGTTATCTAATCAGCCAATCACATGGCAGTTCAATGTATTTAGGGGTGTGGTCCTGGTCAAGACAATCTCCTGAACTCCAAACTGAATGTCCGAATGGGAAAGAAAGGGGATTTAAGCAGTTTTGAGCGTGGCATGGTTGTTGGTGTTTGAGTATTTCACAATCTGCTCAGTTACTGGGATTTACACACACAACCATTTCTAGGGTTTACAAAGAATGGAGTGAAAAGGGAAAAACATCCAGTATGGGTCAGTCCTGTGGGCCAAAATGCCTTGTTGATGCTTGAGGTCAGAGGAGAATGGGTCGACTGATTCAAGCTGATAGAAGAGCAACTTTGACTGAAATAACCACTCGTTACAACCGAGGTATGCAGCAAAGACACAACACACACAACCTTGAGGCGGATGGGCTACAACAGCAGAAGACCCCACCGGGTACCACTCATCTCCACTACAAATAGGAGAAAGAGGCCACAATCTGCAAGAGCTCACCAAAACTGGACAGTTGAAGACTGGAGAAATGTCGCCTGGTCTGATGAGTCTCGATTTCTGTTGAACATTCAGATGGTAGAGTCAGAATTTGGCGTAAACAGAATGAGAACATGGATCCATCATGCCTTGTTCCCACTGTTGGGCTGGTGGTGGTGGTGGTGTAATGGTGTGGGGGATGTTTTCTTGGCACACTTTAGGCCCCTTAGTGCCAACTGGGCATCGTTTAAATGCCACGTCATATTAAGGCAGTTCTGAAGGTGAAAGGGGGTCAAACAGTGTATTATGGTGTTCCTAATAATCCTTTAGGTGAGTGTATACTGTACTGTAATGTACTGTACTGTTAGCTCGATACTGTGTGCTTGAGGCTAACAGTGCCATGCTAACCAGACTAACCGTAAGGTATAATTAAGTCAACTGTAAGGGAAACTTATTTTGGTGTGAGTGACGTTGAACCAAAATCTTAAACTGGCAAAAATAATATTACCAAACAGTGTGACATATTGATATGGCACAAATACAGAAAGCTGAATCACTAGTCACATCATCATATTCATATTGGAACAAAAATCAAAACACAATTTTTTTAAAATATCTTTAATCATAAGTCTAGTGTTGTCACAATACCAAAATTATTGTTTCAATACCGACACCCAGTCAAGAATTGCGATTTCGATACTTTTCCGGAAAAGGAAATGTATTTCTTACAAGGCGTTTCACATGCACCTCGTTTGTGTAGGTCTGTGCTCTTCATGCTGTAATAACCTAATATAAATATATCACTGAAAACATGCTCTGATTATAATCATTTAGCCTATAGATCATTTTAGATGATGTTTTGTATCCTTTATTTTAGCAGTTTGCAAATTATTTATACTATGTATGAAAGTTGGGGGGAAAGTTGTACAGCTAATGCAACAATAAATAAAACATCTCCAGTTCAATAGCAGAGATTTCATTTAGTTTGCTATTAAATAATAGATCTAGCACTAAAATCTGTTGTTTTTTTTAAATCAAGCGCTCTTTTTCGCACTATCAGTTGCATGGATACAGTGTTTTTTGCGGCTCGTGCAGTCGTGCACCGTCTTCATTCGGACGTGCGCTTCATTCTTTCGCCGTCGCGGAGACTATCGTGTACAGGCCGCCGGATGGTGTTGCTAAGACCTTGCAAAGTATAACTATCAGACCGGCCCTCGCGGCCTCCAAACACTCGCGGCCCAGCGGGAAAAGTCCCGACTCTCCGGATCGCCACTCCGCTACTGACGCCGCCGGCCACAGCATCACTCGTGCTCGCGCGCAGCCGTCTCGCTGTAGTGTGTGTCTCATGAAACACTGACGTCCATAGGGAGGCACTGGAAGCGTTGCACACACCAACATGAAATACGCCTCTTACAAATCTGGATCGCGGTTATTCATAAAAGTATAGATACTAATAAATTCAGGTATCGTGAGGTTTTTCATTTCCGAGTATCGCGATACTTTTGAAGTATCGGTGCAAACCTACATCAGTCTGAATCTGCAACACGTCACTCCATCACGGCGAGGTTAGCAAGCTTAGCTGAACTGAGCTGCTTATGTTTTAATTCTATAGTTAATGAAACATGTCATATTGAGCCTGAATTGTCCTGACATGTGTTTGTGTGTTCTGGGTCAGTCGAGAGCCTGGTTCTGCAGCGCTCGCACAGTGAGACGATGATGGGCTTGGCGAGCTCGCGGCGGCACACGGGAGATCAGCGGCGCCGGCACACCCTCACCAGCGGAGTGGATTACGCCATGGTAAAGAAGATCTCTTTATAATGTTTGTGAACGTTTTACTTTATTTACCACAGGTAGCATGGCTAGGGTTAGGGCCGGGTCAGAGGTCAAGGATCAGGGAAAGGTCCTTCGTACGAACTCATGCAATAATGAAATGCGGAAAGTGAAGTCATATAGTGGTCGACTGATATATTCGTTTTCCTGATTGGCCGATGTGATCCCAGCGCTCACTCGCGCTCTCCGTCTTCAGTGGTTCACCATCGCTGCCAGTCACATCTAATACTGTGTTAGACACACAACTGCTAAACAAACTAAAGTAAATGGAGTGCGAAAAAGTAAAGCCGTTTGTTTTTATTTTATTTGTAACAGAAAAGGCAGGCAATCAGGCTAAAATGCTTTCTCATTTACCGTCAACATTCAGAAAACGCACGTCTACACCATTTAAACAAATGTATGGAATATCTAATAAACATTTAATTTCACAAAGCTTGCAGATTTAACGAACCCAGCTGTGATATCTTACGAAGTGTGCATGTGTGTGTTCTGCAAACGTGTTCCTGCGAGTGACGGTCGGCCCTTGCGAAGCGAGTGAATGTGAACCGAAGATCAGCTTCACACGAGACGCCATCGAAACACTTCATTTCCAAACATGCGAAGTGAGTCCATCACGGTTAGACGAGGCGAGGACTCCAATGCAGAAGAATAAGGCTTTTATTCATCAAAAAATAGAACAAAAACAAACAAAAACTACCCGAGGGGGAAAACATGAGTTGACTAGTTCACAGGAAGAACACACAACCAAAACATATCATGTACAAATGACCACGGACTAGCACACTTCCCCTGCATCTAGGGCTGAACTATTATGGAAAATAATCTAATTGCGAATTTTTTAAATTTATTTATTTTTAACCAATATTGCGATTGCAATTTAAAAAAAAAGTTATTTACCTTCTGTATTAATCGACAAAGACGAGCAATAAATCATTGTACAGTAGGGATGGGAATCTTTAGGCAGCTCATGATCCGATCTGCTTTTTTTATTAATTAATCTTAACACTTAAAATATGTATTTAATTACATGTGTAAACACACATACTTTAAAAAATAATTATAAAAAATATTTAATTAAATGTTAAGAATTTTAAATAGGCTTTATAAAATAATATATCTTAAAAATATAAAAGCTAGTAAATAAAGAGAAACAAAAAAAGCATTATGAGCAATAAAGAAAGAGTGATCTCAGTATTTAAAAGTTGGCAGTCTGAATGTTTATCGTTCGAGAGCTGGAGTGATTTCCCCTCAGTTTAGATATGATAAGCTGCATTCACACTAATGCACATATCTCTTGAAATTGTAAATGTGGTTTGTCCTGTTGGTTTAAGAACTGACTGTGTTTACATTAATTTCGCGTCATAAAAGCATTTTAAGATGCAAGTTTATGCACATTTAACCCATGCTCAAGTGCATGTTAGTATTTTAAAATGAAAGCAGCCTTCTCAGTGATTTTCATAGTTTTAATATATAAGCCGACTGCACTCCAAAAGACATAAATAATGCCTCTGTGAAGCGTTTGTACGGAAATTTCCCGCGGGAGAGAACGCGCACTGCAAGAGTAACGTAATAACATCAAGCAAAGCGACAAAACCTGAGCAATGAAGCCCGCGAATGTCCTTGTAATTCGGTTCAACCCCGAACTTTATGAAATAACGTTACTATGTTTCGGAAGGTTCGAGCGGTGTGGTGTGTGTGTGTGTGTATGTGTGTGTGTGTGTGTGTGTGTGTGTGAGAGAGAGAGAGATAATAGAAGCAAGCAGAACACGGTTGTTTCTGAAGCACGCGCAGCGTCATCATCACGCATCTGTGTTTAAACTGAGCTCAGACTCGATTCTGAAATTCTCTGAATCGATTCAGGATCGTTGGGGAGAGAATAAATAACACAATATCACATACATTAACAATAAACTGTTCTTTTCTGAACGGCAGACTGCGTAGCGTGGCAAGTTGATGCTTGATCTCGCAGACTGCTCCCGCGTGTCACGTGACCAGTGTAATCGCGTTTCATCATATAACGATTTTGTCGCAAATGCAATGAATCGTTCAGCCCTACCTGCATCCCAGTTTGCCTACTTATACTACGGCCTAAAAGTATATACTCTTTTTGTGAGGATAAAGTACATACTTTTGAGTGTGTAGTAAAAGAGTAGGCAAGCTTTAGCTCTGTCGCCTGCATCCTGTCACCGTAAACTGACCTGTCAATCATCCTGTCACCGTAAACTGACCTGTCAATCATCCTCCATTCAATCTAATTTAATTTCTTACCGTTTCGGAGAGAAATGTTGTCGCTCGTTCATCTGCCAGTCGTGGGTATAATGTGAACAACAAATGTGGATAAATACATGTTTGTCAGGTTAGATATCATACTGATAATTATTCACTCAAACCCCTTTATCTAAACCTCTCTACGCAAGTACATAACCGGCAGACTCGCGCGTCCTCCATGTCTGTAGTTTTTACTCGTGATTGTAGTTCTAACCGAATCCTTGTCCAGCGCGCGATGGGTTGTGGGTAATATCAGCCGTTAGCGTGCGCATCGATCTACACTACGGATTCTGACCGGATATAGTAGACCATCCGGGTCTCTCTGCAACACTCATTTCAACATACTACGATTTAGGGGGTACTAATTCTGTTTTCGAATACTATTTAGGACGGATCGTATGCGAATTGGGACGCAGCCACCTTCTTCTTCTTCTTCTTCTTATTGGTGACTTGCAACCATATGGATGGAGCATTATCGCCACCTACTGTATCTTAATTACACATACTTAAATCCTTGTGTTCAGTCCGGATTGTTGTAAAAAAGATGAGTTTAAGCACCATCTTTCTGGAGTTATTTGAGAAAATAGTTTAATTCCTTCATTCCAGTCCATTCCTTAAAGCCAGTCTTTGAGTTGAGTATATAGTGCACACAAACGGCACTCGGTCCACAGTTTCCAGGTGACTGTGTGGTAAACTTATTTCTTCTGAAGTGTAGAAGATTCAGATTGAAGAGCAGGAGACTCGGGCTGTGTCTTAAGCAGGAGAACACGAGCTGTTGGTGGCTGTAGTCAACGAAATCTCGTCTCGAGTCTGACTAAAATCAGTATACACTTGAATTCATGTACCTTTTTAAGGGGGAGGAGTTACATTGAGGGGATACACTCTGAAGCAAAGTATGCAGATGAAGTAGGAACACACCCTAATAAAGAGCCATTAAAGAGTCTCCCTACAGCTAATCCAGCCAATACGGTTCAACATCTAGGCTGAACGGGGAGAATCTCAGTGATCGGATTAATTTAAATACAGTGGAGAAAACAGGTTTTGCAGGACAGAACCATTAAGAGTTTCAGTAATCTGACCAATGCAGAAAAACAGGATAGGCCGGATATAATCACCATCCTAATCTTAAATGCTAAATTCAATGTACAGAAAGCTTTCTCAGTTTATGTTGCAATCTAAAATTTGTGAAATAATTAGAATCTGTGTAAGATTCTAATTGTAAACAAAGCATTGATTTGTTTGATGAATTGATTCACAGTATGTAATTAATCCTGTAATCGTGGTGTGAGCGCAGTGGGTGGAAACGTGACGTTGTGAAGTTTGCATGGATGATGATAGTTTCTGTATGTCGGAGATGCTCAAACGGTGGTTTGTTGTAAATGTCATCCGGTTGCTTCTAATGTTGTTTCTTATGAACTCTTGAGTGTTTTGAGCTTGATGATGATGATGATGATGGTATTAATGTTTCTGTTGTGCATCATGAGTAACTCTACAGTCCGTGAAAGCGTTGACTCAACAGATGTGAGTGACTGATGTGTGTTCAGTGTCTGAAGCTCCTCCTCTCTCATTCTCTGCTGTCGCTCCTCCCTGCAAACACACACACACACACACACACACTCTCCCCCCATGGGTCCTCTGGTGTGTGTGCTGGGTTAGGGTTAGTCTCTGTCCCTCCTCCTGATGGTGGTCGGTCGGCTCGGGCCCCGGGGCCTCGACTCTGCCGTATGGGTCGCTTACACCACCGTCTTCATCCCTCTGAGCAGCCGCCTGTTCTCCAGCAGAGCCCTGACCTTTTACCTCTGGGTAAGGGAGACACACACACACTTGACGGACAGAACCCAAACCCTGAGACAGGCCAGGGAAGATAGTGTATGATCATGGTGTTTGTGAAGGTATTTACTGCGATGTTATTTCTCTTACAACGGCCGTTTACTCTGATTCTTTCTGACGGTTCACTTATTCAGTTATACGCTGTCTCGAGTTACGCGCCGTCTCGAGTTACGCGCCGCTTCGAGCTATCTGTTCTGCAAAGCTGTCCTCATATTAGAGTGTTTGTGCGGGACAAAAGCGTTGACAGGCTCTAGCTCATCTGCCGTTTGCATAGTTTGTGTTGGAACAGTGGTTGTGTGTGTGTGTGTGTGTGTGTGTCTCTGCTCCTCATCCCTTTTTACAAAGAGGATTTTCCCCGTCGACGGCCCTCCACACAAACACACGGCACAAAGCCTCCCCTCCCTTTATTTCCCCGTTTCAGTCTCGCTGTAAAAACAGTCGAGACGACAGTTCATCGTTCTGCAAAGGACTGGACTAAAACACATCTTGATGCGAGCTGCTTTATTAATCCATATTTTGTTCGTTGAAATGCTCTGTATTAAACATGTTCAAGAGTTTCTTAAAGTTGTTCTCTTCAAAAATAAAAATAATAGTTTCTCCCTTTTTTAAATTTCTACTTTACGTTTGAATGTAAAGGAAGTAAAACCTCCTTACAACCCCCAAAATGCTAAAGTATGTCACAGACGAGTGTATATTGAAGAATATCTTCCATAGGTCAGTTATGACTCAGCCTGAATCATGCAGTGTGTTTGCTGATGGCCAGAGGAGGACTGAGCGACTGAGGTTTGGGTTTCTCGACACTGTCGCCTCTGGCTTCATTAGTTGGGGACTCTTAATATTCAACAATATTATTGATCTGACTGTACTGACGCTGTCGGATGAGGAGAAAACTTGATCTGAACTGAGCTGGTAACCTTCTACACACACCATTAGTCATTACCCTACTGTTAGACATTAGGGCAGATTTTGACACTACATCTCCCATCATCCTCCTTAACTGGTTGTGTGACTGAGGCATCTCTGGTGTTGTGTTCAAATGGTTTGAGTCCTATTTAGTAGACCGTTATCAGTGTGTCTGGATGGGGAAAAATAAACCTGAGGCCACATTAGTTCAGCAGGGTGTCCCGCAGGGGTCAGTGCTAGGACCGACTCTGTTTTGCTTTTATATACTTCCACTTGGTGACATTATTAGAAAATACGGTCTGGGGTTTCATTGCTATGCTGATGACACGCAGATCTATGTTAACACACTACCTGATCCAAATCTTGCAATCACAGCTCTGAGCGCTTGTATGAAAGAAATAAAGTCATGGATGCATGCAAATTAACTTAAACTTAACGAGTCAAAAACAGTTAAACTTGTGCAAGGCTGTTGGTATAACAACTAGTTTTTATTCTGTCTAAACCTGTTCATTGTTCCTGATTTACTAGCCCCAGCGTCACGGGTGCGTAATGTAGGTGCTATTTTTGATTCACATTAGTCTTTTGATGCCCATATCAAATTGGTTTCCAAATCTGCCCTTTTTCGTCGAAAAAATATTGCCAGAATTCTGCCTTTTATATCCCTGCCAGATGCGGAACAGCTTATTCATGCATTTATCACGTGGAGACTGGATTACTGTAATGCACTATACTCTGATAAATGTCTATACTAAAGAAACTTCAGTATATCCAAAACTCGGCCGCACGGGTACCAACACACACACACCGTTCGGCAGAATATATCCCGTTCCTCACGAACTCCATTGGCTTCCAGTAACGGCACGTATCGATTTTAAAATCTTGATTTTAACATATAAAGCGATTCATGGGATGGCAGCGGATACCTCGGTGATCTAGTTGAACCGTATATTCCAGATCGTCGTCTACGCTCGCCGGACTCTTCAGTTCAGGTCGATGGATGGTCGCTCCTTTACGGTTACGGCTCCACTGTTGTGGAATGAACTTCCTGTTGCGATTAAAAATTCCCCAACCTTGGACTGCTTTAAGAGGTCTTTAAAGACCCATCTTTTTAGAAATGTTTATTCTTGTTTATTCTTGTATTATGTCTGGTATTATTTCTATATCGTTGTTTGATTCTTCTGTTTTTATTATCTTGTATTTGTCTACTATTCTGTGTAGCGCTTTGGGTTGTAGGAAAGCGCGTTATAAATAAAATGCGTCATCATCATCATCAATAATGTTCTTTATGTGCACATACGGTATTAATATAGTCTTAAAAAGTCTAAGATGATATTTTTCCGCCTGTGCATCAGCCCTGGTCTTTAAGGGAGTTTAACGGTGTGTTTGTGTCAGCTGAAGCAGATGAAGGAGCTGGAGCAGGAGAAGGACTCTCTGCTGGCCGGCCTGGAGGTGTTGGAGCGAGCCAGAGAATGGTACCAGACCCAGATCCACAACATCACTGAGACCCAGAGACTCGTGGGCCAGAGCCGCCACTCCACCGTACGTTTCCCATCACTTTAACACGCCGTCATTACTGTGCTCATCAAGACATCTCTTTCCAAAGCAGAACCGCTGTCTTCCAGTGGGAGCGTTCATTTATCCAGCGTTTCTCGAGGTCAGAGAGTCTGTCTTTCTGACCGAAATGAAGAACACGAAATCAACCAGAGCTCTGACAAAAGTGCTGTCCTTTTTTAATCATAATTCATTGTACTCTAGTTTTGGGTTTTAGAAACTTAATCATATTTCATGGAACAAACAACAGCCTCACAGTGGAGGTTTGCATTGAAGTTTAAAGCAGTTTTCATTCAGATCAGGGTTAGGGTTCGCTTTGAGTTTAGCTTCAGTCCAGGAGAACTACAGGCATGGGCGTCAGAACTAAACTGAGTTTGAAGATAATAAAAGTACTTAAAGGAACAGTGAATGTGTATTTCTGTTGTTAATACAGATGCCCCAGAAAACCAATTCCAGGGTCAAATACTGACCTCATTAATCTGAGAGCTCATTTCTGACACCATATTGTGTTTCTGCAGGAGGTTTTGGGTGAATCTTGTCAAAGTCGGATAGATGTTCTTCTGCCAAAACTGCAGGAAATCACGCGCTGCCTCAATGATTTAATTTCCTTTTCTGGGAAGGTTCGTATAAACATCATTATTATTATTATATATAGATATATTATAGTGTTGGAAAATGTGAAGGTGATTGACAATAATCAAGTGATGTTGCTTTAGTTCCCTGATAATTCTACAGCTGAATCAGTACCGTGTGTGTGTGTGTGTGTGTGTGTGCGTGTGTGTGTGTGTGTGCGTGTGTGTGTGTGTGTGTGTGCGTGTGTGTGTGTGTGTGTGTTTGCTGTTCTCAGACGGTCTCGTCTTCAGACTCGCTGTCGGCCGGCGTCTCGTCCAGCACTGCTCCTCCTCAGGCCATACACACACTGAAGGAGCACAACCGCTTGCTCACACAGGTCAGAGGTCACACACCCACACCCGAACCACACATCACTCCTAACACCCAATCAGATCCGTGAACTCGGATAAGAGACAGTTTCCTGTTTCTTTCAGAAATGCATCACAGTACAGTGAAGGACTATAATGCGTTAAGAGCTCGCTCTAGTACTGGAGATAAACCATTCAGTGCTTTATAAGTAATCAGCAATATTTTAAAATGTATACGATGTTTAATAGGCAGTGAAGGGTTGACAGAACCGGGCTAATATGGTCAATCTTCCTGGTTCTGGTAAGATCTGGAGCGGCTGCGTTTTGGACTCGCTGGAGTTTGTTTATTAAGCGTTCAGGACAAACACCCAGTAGAGCATTACAGTCATCTAGCCTTGAGCTCATGAACACATCAACTAACTGTCCCGCATTCGTCAGTGAGAGCATATGGAGTAAATTGGAGATATTGTTAAGATGGAAGAATTCGGTTTTACAGACACTAGAAACATGGCTTTCAAATGAGAGATTGGTATCAAAGAGCACACACACACACACACACACACACACACACACACACACACACACAGATTCCTAACCGACGAGAAGGACTTGACAGAGCAGTCATCAAGTGTTGGACGGTATTCTAGGTTAATATATGCAGAGGTTTTTGGTCCACTCATTAGAAACTTTGAAACTTTTTCTGAATTTAGTAGTAGTAAATTACTAGTTATCCCGTTTTTTATTTCAGCTATGCATTCCGTTTATTTAGTTAATTGGTAAGTTTCGTCAGGGCGTATCACTGCATGAAGAGTGGGATTTTTGTCCCTGTAAACTGCCGTGAATCCCACTAATCTCCGTATAGGCGCCCCCCACCCCGCGCGAGATTAACAACTCTATTACCATCTGAAAAGCAGCAGCATCATCAGCAGCCCGACCAAGCTTCTCAGTCATTGGGTTAAACAAATGACATCATCAATCACATCTGATTGGTTGGTAGATCTGTCGCTATTGGTCGTCCTGGACCTTTAGAAATACAGGCTTGGGTAAACCCCTCCCCAATAATAATGATTATTATTTATAAATTATAGATATAGTCCTGTATTAAAAATAAACCTCTTATTGTAGACTATATTCATGTGATATAGCCATATGATGTTACATTTTGTATTCATGTTAATAACTAGGACATACATTTATAAAGAACATGAAGAATTTCTGAGACAAATGTTGATTAACTTTTTTTATTTAAAAAAAAAAAGAAAGCAAATGCGTATATTAACAAGCAATAACAAAATACATAAAATGGGCAGCTTGGGGATGAAATGTCGGTCCACCTCTGGGCCATGTGGTGCTTTCTGTCCGAACATGATCCACTACAGACGCCTGTGACGCAAGCAGCTGGAAAACAATATTTGTGTGCATTGTAAATAAATAGCGTGACCACAGCACATACATCAAAAACAATATTAACATAAAAACAATATACACATCCCACAGTAACAGATCGCATCGCAACACAATCGCATCGCCAACACCGTACGATCCGGGCTTGCGTGCAGAACTCCGGCCAAAAACGATGACCGCCGCATTATAAGGCGAACACAGTCTGTGAAAACAAATGTGAGATTAAATAACAGTTCAAGAAATATGAATCCAACATTATTCGCTTTCTACACAGTAGATCGCATGCTTTGTATGAATGTCCAGCATCATAGCGCGCCTGCGACGGACGGCTTCCTACGAAACACATTGAAGCAGAACAACAAAATAAATACATTGTGAACTTACTTGCTGTGAACACACAGTGATTCTTATTGTTTTTAGTTTAGAAATGACCACGTCTTACCGCAATTTTCAGACTGTTCTTCGGATGTTCCTGCTTGTCGCTCACGCGCTGCTGCTCGCGGTGTGAAGGCGCTCATTGATTAACATGCACGCCGAAAAAAACACGCGCCGCTCACGTGCCACTGAAGGCTATAAACAACTGCAATAATGTAATACTGACCCTATTCATCACAATCATCATAACCGCGATCCTCAACTACTAGTTCATTAGCGAATTCGTCCTCCACCCCTAGACCTGGGGTTAGGGTTTAAAATTCCTGTTAATAGCCGTTAACCCCAAATTCCACAACAATTTTATGTGCCATTAATTGCCCAAAATCCTGCTTTTCATGCAGTGTATAGAGCTGAGGATCTTCAGCATAACAGTCAAAACGAATGCCATGTTTCCTAACGGCAGCATGTACAGCAGCGGTCCCAGTACTGAGCCTTGTGGAACGCCATACTGAACTTTAGTTTACTGCTACAAACTGATAATGGTCTGATCAGTGTGGTTTGAGCCATGCCAGTGTTGTAAAATGACTGATTTGCTCTGATAATCTGTTTGGGCTCAACCTACATGCTATAGTGCATACATGTTCGGTACCATCGATACTTGCGGTACTGTAGAAAAACAGATACCGTCAGGATTTAAAAATGTTGATACCGACTTGGTACCGAAGTATCGGTTCTCATGACGTGCCTGCAGTATATGGCTAAAATAAACCAGTATTCCCATTTGCCTTCGAGCAGCATTTACTACGGTAAAACTGAGCGAGTGGATCTCTGACCCCTGAGCTGGTGTGAGTGAGTGGAGACGGGGCTATTCGCATATTCACGTGTTTTTCACTTACAGGAAGTGACCGAGAAGAGCGAGCGCATCACTCAGCTGGAGCAGGAGAAATCTGCGCTGATCAAGCAGCTGTTCGAAGCTCGTGCTCGCAACGCTCACGACAGCAGCGCACTCGACTCCACCTTCATCTGACCATCATCATCATCACTCCTGAGACCACTGTTCACTACATCATCATCATCATCACTCCTGAAACCACTGTTCACTTCATCATCTTCATCATCATCACTCCAGAGACCAGCGCAACACCACTGTTGACTTCATCTTCATCATCATCCTCATCACTCCTCCAGAGACCAGCCCAACACCACTGTTGAGTCACGCTTCATCTGAGGCCGAGTCGGCCTGTTGTCAGTGTGGAGCAACCGCTCAGTGTAACCCGACCCCTTCACTGGAGCTCCTCCCTCTCAGCCGAGTCTACACGCGCAAACACAAGACAGAATAAACTGGACTCCAGCGCAGGACAGTCAGATGGCATGAACAAACACTGCTTCTAAAGTTCACTGACGCTTCTTCTGGACCTGGAGCTTTATCTGTGCAGTCGATCGGTGTGGTGTAGATCTTTCTTGTAGCTAGGGTTTTCAGTTGGGGTGCTTTGATTAGTGTGCTGTGTTTTCAGAAAGTTCCTCTCCTCCACACACACACACACACACAGACGTCTTTGGCTGTTTTTGAGCATCTCGCCATAAGCTTTGCTGTTGAAGATGGCATGGAAAGTTAAAAAGACTTCTGAAAGGTCGCAGTGTAACAGAAGTAGCAGCAGATCTTGTCTTCTGTTTCGGGCCGTACATCTGAATGAAACTGATTATGGAAATCATTATGGAAACAGAAAAGAAGACATGTAGGGCGGGGCTTGGTTCTGTCCAGCAGTTGCTGATTGGATGGAGGCGGGTCTGAATGTAAGGGGCGGGGTTCAGCGCACAGAATGATTGGACGGTCCTCACCATGGAGACGCCTGTCCTTTCATTATATTTCGATTTTTACAGCACCTGAGGACCTTCATGCTCTCCGTAGTTGACCACAGTTGTTGACTCTTCTGTTAGTTTGCAGAACAGAAAGTCTTTATAATAATGGATTTCATGATGTTTAAACGCAGAAATGCGAAGCTTGTCTTTGTTTAAGCAGTTCTTTAGTTAAACATGAGTGAAATTTACACACAGTTGTTCTATGAGGCGGGACTAATGAGTGAAAATGATTGGCTGTGGTAAATGACCACTCAACGACTCCCTCTATAGATGCGGTTTAATAAATACCTGGACTATTCTTTTATGTACAATTGTAGTTTGATTCTTGAATGCTCTTTATCACTTCAAGTGTGAAGATTAATTGAAGCTGATTTTATGAATGAGTACAGCAGTGACTTCAGAGGACTAGATGCTTCCAATCTATATTTACGATAGCCGTATATAAGCACAATGTGGCATGAAAGAGCATTTCAGACCTGAATGATGTGAACATTAGTAAATACCTTGGGCCTTGTCCACACGGGTATTTTTATAACCGTGACCTTTTTTACGCGGTTGGGCCGTTCGTCCAGACGGAAACGCAGTATCAGGACACTAAACCCCTGCCAGGACTTTCAGAAACGCATCTTGTTGGCAGTAAACCGAGGTTTTTGAGCGCCGCACTGCGCCGTTATCCGCCTACCGAAACCTGTAATAACTTTTTGTTAGGCTTCGGATTGGCCAACGTGCCTTTACGGTCAGGGTTATATCGCCGCCTGCTGGTGTGGCATGCTCTTGACAGTGCTTGATAGTGTGTTTTTGTGTTTTCAAGTGGACAGGATTTTTTTAAACACGGGAGGAAAAACTCAGGTTATTAAAATACCCGTGTCCGTGTGGACGAGGCCTTGGTCAGTTTCAGCCCTGATGGAAGAAGGTCAACACGAGAAAGGAAGGATGTTTGTGGACGTGATCTGGACAACCAATATTTTATTACGATCTTTTAAAGATGGTTGATAATGGATATGGAGAATGTTTGTGGGGTTTACAAAAGTGGTGTTGAAGCAGTTATACCTGTGTGAAATAATGCATTTAATTTGACCTTTATAAAGCACTGATGATCTGGCACATGATGTTCAGTTATTGAATAAATCATGTCTTCAGGTTACAGGAGCTAAATGTGTTCATGAATACGCAAAAGAAAACAGACACACAGTATGTAGTGTTTTCCCTTTATCATTCTGTCTGAATCTGAGCTGATGATGAAGAATCTCTGGGAAGATCTCGTCGGCTCAGCGTCTGGAAGCTGCTGTGGAAACACGATGGTTTAATGATTTAAGGGATCGTTAAGAGACATTACAGGAGACCAATCAATGAAGCTGAAGGACATTAATGGCATATATATATGCTGCACATATGATGTAATGAATATCATTATACTGTTTATCTCAACTCTCATTTCTTTTATGTAATCCACAGCAATCTTGATGCTTTTCCATGATTAAAGCAGGTCCTTCATTAGTGACGCGTGTTCTTGAGACTCTTCTGTGTCAGTCAACATCGCACAGCTTTATTTTCTGTTTTCACTTTTCTACAGAAGACTTGTATTGCAAAAATAGTTGGTGTTAATTCGCCTTTGGCTAAGCCACGCCCTAGAATGTAGATTGACCAATCACAGCGCAGCCAAGAACGAGCTCCCACAGAGGTCGGACACTTTTTCACAGCGCTTCATTGACTTTCAGGCGTCTCATATTTTTGGTCTCGGCAGGCTATTACCGTCGTAGTTTTATCCAAAATATGGTTAATCGTTGTGCCTCGGGCGTTTGTAACACAGATGCGCGTTTCCCAGAGAGGCTGGAGGGGGTGTCCGCTTTTTCTGCATTAAACTGTGGGGACGTCCTCAGTCAGCTAAACCCCGCAAAGATCAACAAGCACATCTTTTTTTACTAGTAGTCTACTGATTGCAAACTATATATTTGTTGAGTAACACTTTATAATTACTGCACGGCACGCTATTAATCATTAGTTAAGCATGAGTAAACGGTTAATTCATCATTCATGAAGCATTAATAGACATTGATAAGCAGTTTATAAATACAGCTATAAATGCTTTTTTCCTTGAGTTACAAGCATATCTATAATGTGTTTAATAATAGTATTTTCATACTTTTTTAATGACCAATTAATAATTTCTAAATGAAGTATAGCATTATTTACAAACCCGTTTAAGAGTTGTCAGTCATTCATAAGATCACTTAAAAAGTGTAAGTAAATGTAGTAAATACAGGTAGTTATAAAGCATTTTTAGTAGTGGTCAGTTAACTATGTGTGTGAGCTCATCTAAAGTGAGGACTAGTCATGCCTTGTAAATAGGAGATTTAAAGGAGATAAATCTTCGAAACAGTAAAATGTTAAACACAACACAGTGATACAGAACATAGAAATATTTAACAGCCTTTAAATCTCCTTTATAAATGCTTTACAAGGCAAGACTAGTCCTCACTTTAGATGAGCTCACACACAGTGTTAACTGACCACTACTAAATGCTTTATAACTACCCGAATTAACCCTGAATTACAGCATTAATACATGTTAATAAAGCATTTATTAACACACTAATTAACCAATACTATATGTCTGAAAAATAAGATGTATGAATGTACATTTAAATAGTTTATTAATCATTTACTTACACGCTCTATGTAATCTTATGAACCACTGAAAACTCTTCAATAACTGGTCAATAAAAAATGCAATTCTTCATTTAGAAATGATAAATTGATCATTAATAAAGGAAAATACAATTATTAAACAAATTATAGATATGCTTTTAAATCAAGAAGAAAACATTTATAGCTGTATTTATAAAATGCTTATTAATGTCTGTTAATGCTTTATGAATGATGAATGAACCGTTTACTCATGCCTAACTAATGATTAATAGGCGTAGTTATAAAGTGTTGAGAAGCGGCTAATCATTAGTTGATTATCAACAGATGGTAAATTAAAGATTATTTTAGTTTTGCATGAGTTTGAATCATTAATTAGATGCATTTGAACCCCTTGAGGAGGATTTACTGTCTCATATACAGATCATATGCTGACATGACCGTTGCTTTCATCTGAGAGATTGAATATGATTTGTTGGAAGACAGCTGAGATGATGTCGGCTCAATCTACAAAAGGTTAGTTGACAATTGGTTAATACCTTGTTGCAAAAAAACATATTGACAGTCAACAGGCACTTTTTGTAAAATCTCTTGATCAACACTAGAAATGCTCCTTATAGTCTGTCGGCAGTTAGTTGAACGTATGTTACTTGTCTGTTGAAACAGTGTTGAATGTCAACTGATAAATTAGTCTAACTAGTGGAGTCTCAACAGATGGACTATCACGATAAAGGGTTACCAAATAGCTTAATAACAAGCACTTACTGTAGCAGACATGTTCTCTATATCTCTGTTATTCATATCTGGTATCTCTATTTTGATGCTTTTTTAGTATTTGCTGTTATTAGTGGTTTTACCTTAATTTCATCTTTGAGCTCTTACATTTGATCTCATCTCTGTTATTTTATATGAATTATGTCACAATCAACAATCGTAAAAATGTATCTTGTCTTTAATATGAGGCTGTGCAAACTAGAATGATGAAAGTGCTTTATCGTGTTTATTCAGATGATGTTGAAGAAGCTTAAGATGACAAAAGTGCTCCTGGACATGATTCTGTCACACAAAGGTAAAAAAATATTTGATTCGACAACCACAATCACTCTTTGTCTTATTCTTCCATCCAGATGAACCTCCATGTCGTCTTCATGTAACAAATGACACTTTGTTACAGTGAATTTCAGAAGAATACTAATGTACGGTTGCATCAGTTGTTTACCACCAAATTTCCGTCAGGAGCCAATGGCGAGTTGCATCATTGCCAATCAGTGTTAATGATGAGGACTTGCTTCGACACGTCTTCTGAACCAATCCCACCGTCCGTAAACATAAACCCTGTAAATATGTTAATATGTTAGCAAGTTGTCTGGTCCGTAAACTCAGCAACATGCAAATAATTCTTCTGTAAGAGGGGACACATTTCCATATTGGTTTATTTTCTGGAACGCTTGGCTTCGATTGGCTCCTGAAGCTCCCGGTGGTGTTGAATCATGGGACTGAAGGTGTCGTCAGTGTCTTCAGCTTAAAATGAGCTATCAGTCTCACAACGAACTTCACACTGCGCTGAAGACCACAGGAACGTCAGACAGGTAAGAGATGATGCTTATCATGACACTGAAAGGGTTGGTCTGACGGACACTTCATGAATGTGACAACTGGTGGTTTAAGACGATTCATATTCATGACATTAATTGAACAATCAACTAAGGTCACTGATTAATTCAACTTAATGTTTTGACTTAACTATGAATTTGTGTTACTGTATCAACTTAATGAAACTATCTTTTGTAGAGCTGCTTTAAAGTTGAAATTGAAATCAAAACGATATTTGAACTGAAGTAATCTTTATTATTGTGAAGCTGTGTTGTATAAATACTATGAACATGACTTGACAAATCTAGTTTAGTCTAGTTTATATCACAAACTCTATACATATTCTGTCACATAGTTGTCATAAGGCTGCTTGTTTATCTTCTATGTATTTTGTGAACCATAATTATTGTACTATTAGGGTTAGGGTTACCGTATTACCCTATTGTTACCCTATTGTTCAAGTATTTCTAAAATGTCATTGTGTAGAAGATTTTTGTACTATGAATATTTTTTCCCATTTCAAACAAAGTAGATTCCTACTGTGACAACATGATATAATGTGACAACATGCCCCTTTGTAGATGTAGTTTGTTAAATGAACTGTAACAATCATGTTTTTCCTAGTCAAGAATTTAAAGTTTCAACTAGAGAATATCCATTTTTATTGAAAGTGATTATTCTTTAACAGAAAGCCTTTTGTTGCTTTATGAGAGATCGTCACATGTGATGTCAAGGCATCCGTAGGGAAATACTTTAATTCAACACATATTTGTAGGCATGTGTGGAGAGTTTCATGAGCCCAAACAGTGAAATTCACTCATGAATGTTTTTATCGCGACACAAAGTCAAAGCTGTTTCAGTGCCGTTTGATTGGCCACCGTTTGTGTGTTTCAGGGGTTGGTCCGAGCACACAGAGAAGACGATGGAAATCACAGAGCTGTTCAGATTCATCAACTCCTCTCTGCTCATCAGTCACCGGCCGCTGAACGCCTCTCCGGTCGAGCAGACCGTCTACGCCGGATGCGCACACATGCCCAGCGTCCTCATCTTCTACCTGGTGCTACAGTTCATTAACATGTTCCTGGGCATCCCGGCCAACATCATGGTTCTGTGGCTCATCCGTAAGAATAAGGGAGACTCGTCCACCTCAGACATCTTCATCATTCATCTGGCCGTGCTGGACACTTTCTTCTGCCTCTCTCCTCCGCTGGAACTGGCCAACATCGTGTACCTGACCAGCAGCAGCACCTGGTTCGTCCTGCGCTTCTTCTACGGCTTGAAAGATTTGTCGCCGCTCTTCTTGTCCTGCATCTGTCTGGACCGATACATGGCCGTCTGCCATCCCATCACCTTCACCGAACTCAAAGACCAGCGGCATCGCTCGGTGTGCGCCGGCGCCGTGTGGCTCGTCACTTTAGTCTACGCCTCAGCGAAGTGCGCAGGAAACATCCCTAACTTCGAGAAAGTCTTCACCGTCATGATTCTGGTGGCATTTGCATTCATGCTGTTCTGTAACATCTCCATTCTCTGGGCCCTCAGACGGTCGGCTCCAGGCCGAGACGAGAGGCATCCCGTCAAGAAAAAGGCCTTCAGAATGGTCATCATCATCTTGGCCATCATTGTGTTTAACTACTTCCCGCCGGTGGCTCTCTTTCCGTTTCAAGAGTATTTCTCTCCGGAGGTCTTCCGCTGTTACATCCACTACATCGCCTTCGGCTTCATGGACATCAGCAGCAGCATCCAGCCGGTTCTGTATCTGTCACGGGACAAGCTTCACAAAGTCCCACCGCGCTGCTCGAAAAACACGGAATCTGTGGACGATCCTGTGTTCACCGTCAGCCATTGATTTGCTGTTTTTGGAGTATTTCATTGATCAGATGCACTGAACTACTGTAATAATGCAGGTCTGTGTACGTAAACAATGTGTGCTGTTATTATATTACAGCCATTAGATTTATTCGGCAGCTGTTTTATGGTTAAGTTTTTTGATTGTGAGGCATGCAATGAATTTACATAAAAACAATGTATTTAATTCTATGTATTTATTTGCCGTGTATATATGAAGAGCTCTTTTCCAAAACGCTATAAATCCATTTCAATAGTTTTCAGGAAAACTACATTTTTTACCTAGACCCACACATTTTGTGAATATTCAAATTATCCTGTTTAAATGTTTTATTGGTTCAGTCTGAACATTTTGAACAATAATTATTAAATCAAACAACAATATTGTTAATGATAATTTAAAAGTTAATTTTATTTTTTTCCAAAACGCTATAAATCGAAATAAACCTCAAACAAATAGTACCAATTTCAGCATATGCATGAAAAAAACAAATTATTAATACCAATTTCAACATATGCATGAAAAAAACGAATTATTAAAAATGATCAATATAACGATATTCAAAAAAGGGATGGGCACCCCTCCAGCACATGCACACACACACACAGGCTACATAACATGTGAGCAAAGCGGAGCAGCATGACGCTTAAATATAAGTTAAAAAAAAACAAAAAAACAAAATAAACATTTCACATTTGTTTTTAATAATATTACATTACTTATTTTTATTATTTCATCTATGTTGAGTAGGCTATGAAAAGGGAACCGCATGAGATTAGTAAGATAGGATCAAAATTCAAAAGCTGCCCAATATCGGAAAATATTTGGAGTGCGTCAGACATGATTTTGACCACTTATTAAGTTTTGTTTTGTAGAAAGCTTGTAAATTTCGTTTCATATAAATTGTATCTTCATTTTAATAAATGTTTCATCGACAAATTGACTGGATTAATACATTAGAAGTAAATATCAGACAATATAATCAGGACACAGAGGCGCGCAGGTGAACCGGAGCGCGTCTCATAATATGAACCGAAACACCGCGATGCTTGCCTCACACAGGCCTGAGAACTAAGCTACAGAAAGCTTTAAATATCTACTTTTAAACAAAACAATTAAAAACTAAAATAAATTGGCAACTCTCTGCGTATGTAGGCTAATTCGAAGTATGCGTTTCTCTATGCGCGTTCACTGCGAAGATGGCGAGTAAGCATCATCAACTTTATCTTTGTTGCTGACACTGAGACCCCGTTTACACCTGGTATTAAAATGCGATCTGTATCCAGATAAGTTATCCGGATAATAAGTACTGATTCAATTTACACCTGGCCACATAAATGTGTTTTTGCAAAACGGATATAAATCCGATCTTCACCTCCTGCGTTATATGCAGATTTATTGGATTGCACGCCACCAAAAGCAACAGATCTGAGCGGCATTTTATTGATCATCAGCTAATTTCCAAATCAGAGACATCAATAAGAGAGAGTGGCAACAGGCCTGGTAAGATAATTTCGTTTCTTTACTTGAAGATGTGTTAACTGCGTCTGTGACTTACTTTCACTTTTATTTGCGATGTTTGCACGTTGAATAGACGCTCAGCTGCTCATCTGCGGTGATGCGTGTCGCGTGTCGCATCTGACTAGGCTATAACATGACATATAGCCTATATAACACGCTCTCACTCGTTTATTTTTTAGCATTTTTGGGAGGAGTAAAATATACATATGTGGTTTCAACAACCAGATTGCGTTTACACCTAGTAAAGATCCGGACACAATGCGAGCCAGACTACCTCCAGATGTGGTCAGGCAGATTCGATCACGATCCGATCACAACGCGTTTACACCTTGCATTAACATGCTTTTTTATTATCCGGATAACTTATCTGGATACAGATCGCATTTTAATACCAGGTGTAAACGGGGTCTGACAGAAAACACTAGTTTATTAATAAACAATTCAAATGTTTCATGCATCATTACTTTTGCCGGTTCTTTGTGGCAAGCTTTATGCATACGTTGAGATGCGGAATATGCAATTAAAAACGCTCATATGGTTTCTCTCCCATTTAATTAAATCAATATATGTGATTACTGATAATACAAATGGCTTAAATGATCTACTACTAGTCGACTAGAAAACTAGGACTCATTTTGAGGAATGAATGAACATAATAAACCTCTGTTCAGAGTGCCGCCGTGCTGGATTGTATAGAGCGCTCATTGAATTTGAGGATTTATCGTGTTTAGGCTAAAAACAGGCCTGGCGCTTATCGTGGTTTGGAAAGAAACTGTATCTTGCAGTACATTTTAAACAAGGAAATATAGCGATTCGGCATGAAACGTTGATAGAGCAGTGAAAGGGTTCTGTCCGCAGCAGAATGACACGACAAACTCATTTTTTTAAAAAATGTCGTTTAACGCGTTTTGGAAAAGAGCTCTTCATATATATAATGTGGCGGGAGGAGCAAATGACAGACACAGTGGGAGTATCAGGCCTCACAGAGGCATTTTTTTAACAAAGAAACATAAAATGCCCAAAAAGGGGGGAAATAAAGTGTTAAAACCCAAGGGGATCTGGTGTCCTCGTCGGCAGCGGCAGGAATCCTCTGTGATCCCTTCCTGGCCCAACGAGGACACCAGCGTGCACGACGGGGAAGAGACCAGTCTCTCGAGGAGAAGCGTGCTCAGCTTTTAAAAGCGGTGGTGATGAAGCTTCATATCCTTCAGGTGTTCCTCATCACACGCCGCCTCTCCTCTCCAATCACACACACTCCAGTCGGGAACTGGCGAAGTTAAGGGACGGGTCGCGCTGATTACAAGGGAGAGGCAGCTGTTTCGCAAAATATACTCTAACACAGCAGTTGTTGATATTTAACCTTTAGTGTAACAAGGTTTGTAATTCAAGGAAGGAGGCAGGAACCGGCGATTGTTTTACACTTTAATAATCAAAGTAAACAAACACAAAATGAAAGTAAAAGCGGCAGCCCTTCACAGAAGACTGCCACTTACACATTAACAAAACACAACATAAAGTCCAGGCCTGGTCCTCTCTTATTCTTCACTGTCGTCGCTCCTCATATGCTCCGTGAGAAACTCAAAGGTGAAAACCGAAAACACAGACTCAGCGACGTGGGGGCTGAAACATCCTCACCGTATCCTCCAGTAAAATATAAAACCAAACAATGGCAACAGCCAATTCTGGCTCCATAGCTGTGTACTCAATTATATCAAATGAATGATCAGGATGGCAGCTGTTCTTTCACACTGTTGCTTGGCGCCAGGAGCGGTAATCGGGAACACCTGGTTTTGGCGCCAGGAGCGGTAATCGGGAACACCTGGTTTTGGCGCCAGGAGCGGTAATCGGGAACACCTGGTTTTGGCGCCAGGAGCGGTAATCGGGAACACCTGGTTTTGGCGCCAGGAGCGGTAATCGGGAACACCTGGTTTTGGTGCCAGGAGCGGTAATCGGGAACACCTGGTTTTGGCGCCAGGAGCGGTAATCGGGAACACCTGGTTTTGGCGCCAGGAGCGGTAATCGGGAACACCTGGTTTTGGCGCCAGGAGCGGTAATCGGGAACACCTGGTTTTGCGATTAGGAAATCCCACAAAGGCTACATGGTGCGTCCTTCGAAGGACAAATAGGCTGCACCCTTCGAAGTCCTACACATTGGGACACAGCTCTTGTCTGTTCTCAGTCTTATTAAGTGTGTGTGTGTGTGTGTGTGTGTGTGGGTCTTCAGCCTACACCACTCCGTGACACATGTGAAGGCCTGGGTCAATTCACCTTTATTTTTATAGGGCTTTATACAATACATTTGTTATATATTTGTTATACAATTGTTTCAAAGAAGCTTTACAGAGATAATAGGAAAACTCTGGGTTTGGGCCAAATTCCAAGCTCAGACAGCGCCAAATACGCATAAACATTTACTTCATCTTATTATGTAAGTGTGAACTTGTTAGTCCTGTGTGTTGAGTGAGAAGGTTTAGGAGTGAGAAGTTTAAGGGTTAGGGTTAGGTAGAGAGGTAAAAACGAGCTGAAGCTTAAAGTCCCTGTGAAATCAAAACTGAACCTATTTACTTTGTTAGCGCATATTACTAGTCTTGTGGTGAACAATTAATCCGTGCAAGTACATATATATTAAAAAAATCTAAATATCAAAATCTGAAAAGTTACTTCCGGTCTGGAACGGTTTCTTTTTCTGATGACGTAGGTTTCACAGTTTGGGTGGGGAAACGCTTAACCACTCCCCTCAAACCGTTAGTTTGCTATGAGCGAGAGATGGAGAGGAGGAGCGCTAGAGTAAAACCCTGCCCTCTGTTCAATATTCCGTTTCACTTGGAAATACGTCACAGCACTGGAGAAAAATCGTTTGCAACTTCCGGTTCACGGGGACTTTAAGTGTCCATATATCTCCAACGCTGTATCAGTCTGAAACTTGGAATATATACTGATTGAGTTATGGTCAGTCTAAAGGCCATTGCACACTGAGTCCGAAATTCGCATCCGAAATTTACGCATGTTAAAAAAAAATTCGACCTCACGTTATGTCAATCACGGTTGCACACCGCCTCCGAAACTTTCATCCGTCATAAAAAAAATTCGGATTGGGTTCGATTTTCTGCGTTTGAGAGGTTTTTCCGACAATTCAGGGCCGGGGGAGCTCGTTACTGTCTATGGAGCTCGTTCTCGCATATCATTGCACATATGCGCAGTGCCTTCAGTTTCAGTTTTCAATTCGATCAAGTGTTTATGTTCTCTTCTCTCGATTGGATTATGAAAGGAATAACCTCCCCTTTCAATCGGATTGAAATTTCAGATCGATTAATGTGTGATTGAGCAGCCAATTTGATAACTAATGTATTATTTTGGGTACAATATATAGCCTAATCTGTAGCCTATACAGCTGTTCTGCTTCCACTGGGCCATGCGTGTGTGCGTGTGTCCATACCTTAGACATACTGACAGTCTCTGTTCGATTGGTTCACGGAAATTGGTGGTCTTGTTTTTAAAATGTGGCTCCAGAATCGCAAGCAAAGCATCAAACTGTCCCACTGACTTCCTCAGTTAAATTTTGAATCGCTCAGGATAAATTCGTAACTCCTTGATAAGGAACTCTCCTTCCTCTCGGCGCAATTTCA